AATGCTAAGAACCTATAACCATAAAAAACCTTGTAAAATTACTACATGAAGGGAAAATAAGACAAAATTGGTTTATATCTTCTCAGAAGTCACATATTTGGGCACAAAACTCAAGGCTGGATTATTTCATTGGGCTAGTCAGAAGGTTAAATTTAGAACTAGAACCATATGAAGGAATCCTGAGGCTGTGTTGAAGGTGTTTAAAGTGTGAGAGAAACATGCTTTAAGTTTGCTAGTTTGCTAAAATATGTGTCACGATGTACAAAAGGAAACAAGATAGAAAATGAATACCCAGAAAATTATTATATATTCAGCTTGTATTTCAGTGTATATTTTCATATTATTTCAAAAAGAATATGCTAAATGAGTCTTTTATTTCTCAGTGTCATATTTTAACAAGTAAGGGGTTTCTAATATGAGAGGAAATTTTAACAAGTGAATTAATTATTTTAATTTCATAGAATTTTTCTCGTAACATTTATGGCAATTATTTATGACTGCCACAGATAATTACAGGTTATGTATTTTTCAGAATACTATAAACAACATTACAGACATTAGCTGAATCATTAATTTCAAGAGCGTGAAACATTTTATATTTTTGACCTTTTATAAAGTAATCTCCTATTTGAAATAAATTGTTTGTCAAAAATCATAGCAACCTGTCCAATTTGGAATTGGAAATGAACGTTTGACTTACATATAGTAAGTACATTTAAAGCTTAAAAACCTGGTGGTAATCATGGAAAATTGTCCTCATAAATCAAACTTCATTGGCTGTGTATATTTTAAGTTGTCATAAGGCATATTGTAAATAATAAAATATTATATTCTAGTAAAAGTCTTATGTTTTTCTGCATGTTTAATTATCATAACTCTTAATGTAAGGATGAAAAACTTAAGTTTAATTTTCCACAGACAAGAAAAGAAATTAAATTCCAAAATAAAATCATTCAAATATAATGTTAACTTCTCAAAATAATTCAGCAATATCCTTGGCCTTTTCCTCATAATCAAATTTAATGTTTTTTGGAAAAGAAATGGTATACAAACACACACACACATGCACGCACACTTACATTAGATAATTACTTTGATGATTCATTGATCCTTTGTAATTACTAGGTTAGTTTAGAAAATGATGCTGTGAACCAAGGCTAACCTTGACTATTAATGAGTTTTCTTCATCATAGATGAGTTTTCCATATCTGATAACTCCATCAATGTTAAGATCCAACAACCAAAATCAAGTACAGCAAACACATTTCCTAAGACCTTATCAACCTTGTCATGGAATTAAACCTTGAGCAAGAAGCTGAATTGAATTGATTAAAAGAATCCCAAGTCATTAACTACTAATGATGGAGCTTGTAAAGAAAGGAACTGACTTGCCTTATATGCGTTGTATTTTTATCTGCATTTCAATATTGCTTAAATATGTACTTCATTACAGGGCACAACTAAAATAGAAGGGCACCTGCTAAGTCAGAGCCATAAAACAGATCTACAGCTTGCTGGCATGTGAAATTTCTCTAATTTATATTTTTTATGAAACTACCCTCACATTATGTGGTTGGCAGCATAAATAATAAAGCATGTTACTTAAGCAATTTTACATTTACTGTATTAGTAAGTAAATGCAATGACCACCCTTATTCTCAAACAATAAAAACTACCCAGCCTTTTCATGAAAGATGATTGCAATTTCCATTGGCCTGTACATGCAATAAAAAACCATAACTCATCAAAATTTTAGCTATTTTCTCTTAAGATAGAAGAACATTTTGCTTGAACATTGAACGTGATATTAAATATTCATGAAGGTGAATAGAGTTTAAGTACTCAGTAAAACTCTTAAATTCTTTTCAACTAGATAGAAATTCTTTTTGAACCAGGTAAAAACTGCTGCTAACCTGAAGAGGTGTTCAAAAACATTGCAAAGAGACTGTACAATGTGTTCAAAGTGCTATAGTTATTTGGGATTGATTTTTCCAAAAAGCCAGTTCCTCCTCTGAAATTGATTCATGATAACAGCCTCCATTTGGGTCAAACAGTATTTAACCGCTTGTAAATTTTAATTAAATGATTTGTCACTTTGAACACATAGTTTGTCATCTTGCAACTAAACGATGTGTCTTTATCAGAAAATGACTCAAGGGGAAGGCATTCATCTAATTTGTCACTTGGACACCCATTAAGATAATTTGGTTGTTATATAGGGATAAAGTTGAAATTTGTAAAATAGAGTGCACCACTTTTAGTAAGCAGGATCACATTGTAAACTATTAAAAAAACATAATTTGCTCTGCAATTAAATTCTAATAAGTACTTTACTTCTGGTCATTTTTCATTAACAGATGTTTAACTTTCTGAGAAGGGAAAATCCTCCAGTTGCATTTAGTATCTACAGGAACTAGGGGGCTTCAGATGAAAAGCAATAGGCTGAATTAGAATTATCCAAGGGGGCAAAAAAAACATTTATCCGGAGCACTTATATCACTGCAGACCCAGCCGAGACCTTGTCTGCAGCCTGGTTAATGTAATCAGAGATAGCCTGGGACAGAATGAAAGGGACAACTGATGAAATACTGAGGAAATAATGGAGATCCTAAATCTTTCTCCAAAGGAGGGTATATCTAGTAGAACTCAAGATTTTAAAACGTATTAATTTTAGTGTGAAAAAACTATGTAAAAGTTAGTGTGTCTGTGTGTGTGATGGTATGAGACTGTAACGGAGGAAGCTAAATGAATTCAATAATCTCTGTAAATGACAGTGAAGTTTGTCCTTCTTCACACTGAGATAGTGGTGACTATACTTTTTCATTATTGCTCAGTGAAGAACATGTATGTTAGCTAAAAGGAGAAAATATGGTCAGATTTAAATTTATTTTGAACCTGAAGTGAAGTCTTTTCCATATTGCTATCAGGAAGCCCATGTGAAGGGCTTATCCAAGTTTACCTGAATGAAAGGAAACACCTTATTGGCTGTTACCTTTTCTCCAGCCAATGTCCGAATTGCTCAATGTGAAGGGTCAAATGTTAGGTGTCAGTGTTCTCCTCCAGGGTTCATAGCTTCACACTACATTGAAATCACCAGGGCGGTTTACAAAAATTTCTGATTCATGCCTTTCCCAACACAATAGATTAGCTAATGCCAGGAGTTCATTCCTCTTTTGTCTCTGTCACACATATGCTTCCCCTTCCAAGCTCAAAGCTGAAGTAATAGGAGGCCCTCACCAGAAACTGAGGCACAGAAGCCAGACTAAAACAGTGGTGGTAAAAAGCTATCTTTGTGGGGCTGGCATCACGGTGAAACGGGTTAAGCCAGGGCCTGACTGCTGCCATCCCCATCCCAGCACCATGTGGGTGCTGGTTGGAGTTCCGGATGCTCCAATTCCGATCCAGTTCCCTTTTAATGGTTTAGCAAAAGCAGCTGAAGATAGATCAAGTGCCTGGGCCTCTGCCGTCCACCTGGAGACCTGGATTGGGTTCCAGCCTCTTGACTTCAACCTGGGCCAACCCCAGTTTTTGAGGCCATTTAGTGAGTGAACCAGAAGATAGAAGATATTTCTTTTTCTCCTGATCTCTGCTTCTCTCTCTGTAACTCTGCCATTCAAATAAATTAAATAAGCTTATTAAAATATTAATTTTTGCTTCATTCTGATTCATGAAAAGAAAATATGTTTATGTTCTGTGAGACTTGTAAGACTCCAATAGGCAGAAATTAAATAAAAATTGTAAATATGGAAAATATACGTTCTAAACATGAGGAATTACAACAAAAGACTAAAGATGGGCTAAACTTTACTCTGGGATAGACAAGCAAAGAGAAAGTAAACCACAAGTGAAATTCACAGCAAGAGTATTATGTAATTTAAAAAATGTACATGCTTCAATATGTGTACATTTAAGAAAAACAGAAGATAGATTGAAAGTCTCCAACAATTTGAATAAATTTTAGCAAAGAAAATGGGGAATAATGTGGAAGTGAAACTTGATGGAAAAAACAGACGAGACTTTTCCAGAAGTGGCCATTGCATATCATTCAGGATAAACTAAGCTAAATAAATACTCACATACAATATAACATCATTATTTTGCAAAAGACAACAATGAGGAAAATATCTCTAAGGCTAGCAGAAAGCAGAAATAGAGGATAGGGGCTGGTGCAGTGGCTTACTTGGTTAATCCTCCACCTGCGGCGCCAACATCCTATATGGGCGCCAGGTTCTAGTCCCGGTTGCCCCTCTTCCAGAGCAGCTCTCTGCTGTGGCCCGGGAGGGCAGTGGAAGATGGCCCAGGTGCTTGGGCCCTGCACCCCATGGGAGACCAGGAGAAGCACCTGGCTCCTGGCTTCGGATCAGCGTAGTTCCAGCCGTAGTGGCCATTTGGGGAGTGAACCAACGGAAAGAAGACTTTTCTCTCTCTCTGTCTCTCTCACTGTCTAACTTTATCTGTCAAAAAAAAAAAAAAAAAATAGAGGATAGATTCTCTACAAAAACAGCACAATTTAGTTGACAGTAAATTTCTCATTAGCCACTAGTATGAGTCAGGAGATAATAAAAGGACAGCTGCAAAGAACTGAGGGGAAAACAACCCAACCAACTTGTCAACCCAGAGTTTTGCATCCTAGAAGCCAATTGTGAAGAACAATGTTCAAGCAATATCTTGGGCCGGTGCCACGGTTCAATAGGCTAATCCTCCACCTGCGGCGCCAACACACTGGGTTCTAGTCCCGGTCGGGGCACCGGATTCTGTCCTGGTTGCCCCTCTTCCAGGCCAGCTCTCTGCTGTGGCCAGGGAGTGCAGTGGAGGATGGCCCAAGTACTTGGGCCCTGCACCCACATGGGAGACCAGGAGAAGCACCTGGCTCCTATCTTCAGATTAGTGCGGTACACCGGCCACAGCGGCCATTGCGGGGTGAACCAACGGAAAAAGGAAGACCTCTCTGTCTCTCTCTCTCTCTTTCACTGTCCACTCTGCCTGTCAAAAAAAAAAAAAAAAAAAAAAAAAAAAGGCAGTATCTCCAACTCACAAATTCTCAAAATGGTGTATCCAGGGCACAGGAATGGCCCTCCAGTGTACTTTTTTTTTTTTTTTTAGATTTTTATGTATTTATTTGAGAGATATTGTTATAGACAGTGAGAGGGAGAGACAGAGAGAAAGGTCTTCCACTCGCTGGTTCACTCCCCAGATGGCTGCAATGGCCGGAGCTATGCCAATCCGAAGCCAGGAGACAGAAGCTTCCTCTGGTCTCCCACATGGGTGCAGGGGCCCAAGCACTTGGGCCATCCTCTACTACTTTCCCAGGCCATAGCAGAGAGCTGAATTGCAAGAGGAGCAGCTGGGACCAGTACCGGCGTCCATATTGGCTGCCGGCACTGCAGACAGAGGATTAACCCACTGTGCCACAGCGCCGCCCCCACTCCAGAGTATTTCTTTATCAACACACCAATGACTTTGAACAGTTGTCTTTGTAGTATGATAATAGTATTTAACACACATAAGGAGTCTTTATGAAGAAAATGTTCTTCATAGGAAGTATTTGGTACAACTAGATTTGCTTATTGTAAATTAACTTGGACCTTACAGATGTCTGGGGCATAACTTGCAGGATAACAGGATGTGGGGAAGATTGAAAACCATCTAAGCAATCAGCTACATTTGTAATTATTGGAGTAGAAAATCAATGAGCTTCAAATATCTAATGGATTCTTTTGTGAACAATGGGCATATGTTACCCAATATTACTCAACACATTCTGAAGAAAGGAACATTTTTGGAAGCTACATTTGTTTGTGCGTTCCTGCAGGAAATGAATGTCTTCCCATAGCCTGCTCTTGCCTGTATCTTTTAAATCATTAATAAAGTTTGATGCTCAGTAATATTTCCACTGTTCAGAACTGCTCTATGCCAATTGAACTCTGAGTTAACACAACCGTCATCAGAAAATCCTGAACAAACTTTCAGACACACATAGGATAAAAAAACTTGCCATCCTCAGACTCACACTGAATTAACCAAAAAATAAATTTGAGCAGAGACAAGAGTTAACCCAGAGGGGAGAATGATATAAAAGCAACAATGGTGGATACAGAACATGGTTTATGAGAGAACTTAAAAAATGTTTGTGGAATAATAGAATTAAAAGTTGGCTTTATTTTGGTGCAAAAATTTTCAAATCCATATGTACTTTTTTGATAATATACATTTCCACAGTCTGTATTTCCACTAAACTATGGTCTTTTTGCTTTTAACTTGTTAAACTTCTTATTTGGTAAAGATAACAATGAAGGAAATTGAGAACTTAAATGGCATAGGGTAGATGCTGTGTTTCTCATCTCTCACACTTTTCATGCCTTCAACTGTCATTTTTGACAACAAAAATTAATATTTAATAAGAGAAATAGTATTTGATGTTTCATATTTTTTCTGGTGTTTAACTATTTTAACCTTCTGCAACGAAAGCTCTGGTTTTCCCTTTGGCTTCTAGGAGATAATCTCTAAACTCCTGGAATGTTATGCCTGATGGGAGAGTCTGAATACCTTAGGACAGTTGGTAGTAATGTGGGATGTGAGTCTTAAGTCACAGCAGCCATGTGATTTCGAGTCTGGTTTTGGATCAGATGGTATCAGCTTGACCTCTGGAGCAACTGGAAGCTGGAAAAGCCACATGGGCAGTCAATTGTGTTTGTATCATGGAACCTCAGTAGACACCAAGATTCAAGTGAGCTTCCTTGGTTAGCAATAAATGCTCTGTTCATTAAGCCCCATACGAAAACTGAGAAAGTGCTGTTTATGACTCCATAGAGGACAATGGAAGCTCCATGTTTGGAACTTTCTTTTGGAGTCTTCCCAGTGCTGATTTTAATACGTAACCTTTAGGGGCTGGCGCCGTGGTGCACTAGGTTAATCCTCCGCCTGTGGCGTTGACATCCCATATGGGTGCCGGTTCTAGTCCCAGTTGCTCCTCTTGCAGTCCAGCTTTCTGCTGTGGCCCAGGAAGGCAGTGGAGGATGGCCCAAGTGCTTGGGTACCTGCACCCACGTGGGAGACCTGGAAGAGGCTCCTGGCTCCTGGCTTCCGATAGGCATAGCTCCAGCCATTGCGGCCATTTGGGGGGGTGAACCATCCGATGCAAGACCTTTCTCTCTGTCTCTCTCTATCATTGTCTGTAACTCTACCTCTCAAGTAAATAAATAAAAAATATATATAACCTTTAGCTGTAATATACAATCATGAGTACATCAGTTTTCAGTGAGTTGTATAAGTTCCTCTGGTAAATTAGCAAAACAGAGGGTGATTTTTGGGAACCTTCCGAATTAAACCAGGTGAAACAAAAATCCTTCATTCGTGCATAATTCAGTTATTTCCTTCGCTATGATTTGCCTACAAAGGGCAAATGTAGCTAAGTAGTAGCTTATATCCACATGGGAAGAATCTTGTCTGTGAATCAATTTTCATTCTAACTGAGGGTTTTGGAGAGTATCTCATATATTAAAGATTTTCTTAACCTTTGCAGCTTTAAACTAGAAAAAAAAAAGAACAACCAAAATAGATATTCTTGCTTAATACTGATAATAGGAGGGATCTGGCAGATATTTCAAAGACTGCTTTTATTTGTGATTTAGCAACAAATTCTGTTGACTTTCATCGGAATTCCAACTTTAGGGCAGAAGATTTGGCAGATGCTTTTGTTCAGCAGGTTTCTTGACAACTGTGTATGAAAAGCTATTTTTCGCCTTTCACGGGGACTGGTCAAAGGCTGAGGTTTGCTTCTGGTGACACTGCGTTAATTGTCTCCCTTGAGACCACCAGAGTGCTGAAGGCAAGTTAGTGTTGCCTGACTCTCGCCTCCTCCTGAGCCCGCGTGTCTTGCTTCTAATAGTACTGTTTATGCCTGCAGCGTGGCTGGCTGCCACCCTCCCTGCTTGGCTGGGACTTCCTCTTTCACCTTTTATTTACTCCTGTCTAGTGAATTGATGGGAGAAAGTGTTCAGTTACTCTAGGTGGGTTAGCTGCCATTGATGCCAGATGGATAGAAGGGTGCTTTTAAGGAAAAGCAGGGTTGGCAGAGGGGAAGCCCTCATTGAACCTCCATGACCCTTTTGCTGGAGGTATTTTGTTTCCCTGGTAGATTATCGTTGCTTTGCTATATTTGTTTTCCATAGACATTTTGGCATTTGATCTCAGACGCCTTGTTGAGAGACTGAGAAGATATCCCCATAGTTAGACAATGATATTTCACTCTGGGAAATGTAGTTTTTGATACACAAAGTTAAAGATCAAAACCTGTAGGAAGCCTGAGGGCAAGAGAAGTAAAAAAATATTGCAGTGATGTTGTACTTTTCTTGTATCATTTTTATCAGTGTTTTCTCTTCAAATAAGCCAAGGACAGTCTCTGTTGAATTGGGGCAGTTTTTCTCCCCCTATGGGCTTCTTACAAGATGAATGTGTGCCTTTATCCTTTGTCCCAGTCTTTGTTCTCCGGGAACTGTCATTCTCTTACAGTATTGACTTCTTCTGCTATTAAAAAATACAATAACTGTGGCAAAGCCAAGATGTAGTGTGCATACATGTGTGTGTGTGATATAAAAAACACCACAACCATTCTAAAGAAGGTCAAGGCCAACATGTTTTTCCCCTGATTAAAATCCTACAAAAATCCTCAAGAGCAAAACCAGAAATGCCTTTGTGTGGCCTTTGGCAGATTTCTTGATCTAGCCCATGGACTCCCTTTTCCAGTCTATGAAAAATAATTCACAGTCACAACAGCTGCTTGTGAATACACCAACACTCTCTACTGTCACACAAAATCATATTTTTAGTGGCTGACAGGTTTAACACTTTAAAAAGGATGTTTTTGTTGCCTTTTCCATGTCTGCCTTCTTTGCCTTTGCCCACAATAACACTGTGCTCTGAGTCATTTAGAAACTGTGCTCTTCTTCTCTGATCAGAGTGGCATTGATTCTTGACCTGGCTTAAGATGTCAGCATAGCCTATTACTCTGGACATAGTAAAGAGTTAATGAACCAATTTGGACCACAGAGCGGAAAGCAAGTCTCAGAATGTGAGAGGAACTGAAAGCCACCATCTCCTCCCTCCCTGTTCCCTCGTGACCCTGGGTGAGTGAGGGAGGCCTGTGACTGCTTTATCATTTAGAGAACTACAATTTGGTATTAGTGGTGGTGTCTAGGGATGAAGAGCACATGCAGCAAGATAGACAAGAGAAAATGCTGTCTCTGAGACCCGCCACAAACAGCGAGATGAAATCTCACCTAAAGCTAGTATCTGTTACCTATTCGGTTACACAAACCAACATATTCCATTTATTAAGCCATTTTGTTTTTACCTGACACTTAAAATTACAGCCAGAATAGTTCTACAAACCCTTTCTTATCACATTTAAAATGTGCAATGGAAGCATAAAAGCTACTTTATTAATAAAATATTTTTATATGTGAACTAGTTAGAAATGATCATTTCACTTTATTATTATAAAAATCTTATATATTAAATAACCTTACCTGGCTTTATGAATTTCCAAATATTAACTCTACTCTTCCTCAAGGCTGATTGGCTATACTGATAAATTGAATCAGTGCTAATGATTTTTCATTATGGTGCTTTGGTTGACCTGGATTCGCTCCCTACTGTCTTGTTCCTGCTCCCTCTTTTTTTTCACTCACTACATGTCTCTTAAGCACTGAAGCACTACAGCATAACCTGAACGTGGGACTGAAAACAAATCAGAAAATCAGCATTCCATTTTAGCTGGTTAGATGTAATCCAGATAAATTCACTATCCAGTAGAATCAATCAGTAGAAAAATGTCATTATAAAAGTATGTCTCACTTGCTTGTTTTCTTTTCTAGACAGGCAAAATATTGAATAGGAATCTAGGTGTTATTTATTCATTTTTTATTAGGTCCTTCTGACACTCATTCCTACATTGTGATGGAAAATTAAGGTAAATATTCGTTTCAGGGAGAAAACTTTGCTTCTGGGAAACTGTTTTCACACCAATCTTGGTCCAATTGAGTTATGGCTTAAACATCTCTTGTGTAAAATCTTTATTTATAGGTATTTGATGTACTTGAAACTATTTGCAGGCTCTCATTCAAGAGAAAATCAGAGACTCTAGTTGTTAGGGAATCTTCTTTCCCTGCCAATAGGTAATTAACGCTGTCATTGATTTTGTTGTTTATTGTGGGAGTATTCCTTATGAAAGCTTCTGAGAGGCACTGTGATTGCTTTTGTTACTGAGCCATGGCCACACAATTGTTTAGTATGTTTTGAATATCATTTTTCTTTTTTACAAGTTTCTTATAAATTTGCTTGGTTATAAAATTCTCAAAGAGAATTGAATTCTCAAGGAGGGCTGACTTGTAACATTTTCGGGCTTTTGAAACAGTAGAGATTGAATCACTAGAATGGCTTGACTACGTTGCAGCCAATCCGTATAAATACAGTGACCATATTTCCCAAATTCCTAAGACTAATAAAACAGCTAAAACCTGATGGAAATTTACTGTGCCAGGCATTGTAAGCCTCAATACTGTCACATGGACTTGGTTATATTAACTCTGTCATTTTATAGATCAAGAGATGGATGACAGAGGGGTTAAATAATTTGCTAACATTTTCAGATAAAAGGGAACTAATACATAAAACAGCAAACTCTCAACCTATTCTGTTTGTTCTACTCACTGCTCTTCCTTTTTATTCCTCCCAACTCTATCTCAGATAGAATGCACCACATTCTAACATACTGTATAACTTACTTACTCATGGTATATTTTGTTTGTCCCCTACTGTTAGAAGAGGAGCTCCATAAGGGTGTCAGGATTTTTGTTTTCTGCTGTGGTCCTGCACCTGTGGCCCTGATGACACAAATTATAGGCAATTCATATTTGTTGAATGAATGAATGAAGTTATAGCACTAAGTTAAAACATAGGATGTCTACTGTCTGAATCTTTGCTTATCTTCACAGCACTTTGGTGCCTCAGAACCCACTGGCAGACAAATGGAACTGTGTCTGATGAAAACACAAGAAGCAATATTTAAAAGAAAGACTTATGAATCATGGCCACACCAAGCACTACAGTTAGCATCTTACATACCTAATTTCTGAATGTCTCAGAGTTCTGAGAGGCAGGGATTCTTACTGATTATTTAGAATAAATGAAACAGGGGCCCAGGCGGGTTAAGTAACTTACCAAAAAGTCTTACAGCTACTAGAGATTGAAGAATAAGTCTGATTGGCTCTTTTCACATCCAAATCCTAGGCTCTTTCTGCTAAGCCTTAATTCCTTTATTTTATATAATAACAACATTTAATGCTTATTAAAAGATAAGCATCATCATAACTGTTTTGCCTGCTTATTTTATGTAAAAATATTCATTTTATAACTTAAGGCAGTAAGAACTATTCGAAGCCTTTCCTAGACAAAGGAATGAATGTAGTTCTTGCCTGAGAACACAAACCGCGTCAGTGCAAGAAGCACTTCCAAAAGCGGGAGCATAGCCCTTCCCACACTCTCTGCCCTGTGCTCCGCCATCAGCAGCCCCAGAGCCGAGTGCACTGGGTGCCCATCATTAACGGGTAGTCCAGAATCTTAGGAACTGATTTCCTTGGTTCTCCACCTCTGACTTTTCAGCATTTATTTGAGAGGGTATTTTTTAAAGTATGAAATTTCATTAAACTATTTGCTGCTTTTTTTCTATTATTTGCCTAGTGCAGAAATGCTTCATGGTCACATTATAGGTAAAAGTTACATTCTTTCTTTTAAATACCAGAGATATAGCATGTTTTACTAAACAGGAGAGGAATAAAACATCTGTCACAATTCAGCCTTCTAAATAAAACAGAACAAATTGTTAAGTGGTAGGAAACAGTGAAAAATATTTATGTAATTCACGAACTTTTCTGATAAAAAATACTTATATTGTGAAGAAAGTATTCATTATTTTAAACAAACCCCAGGTTCAAATGATATGACTAAGACATCTTTTTTTGTTCTGTCTTTGCATTTTTAATTCTTATTTCCTTAGTTTTGCAAGGAAATTTGTGCCATTTAAGGATGTGCAGGTGGCTTTTTATAAAATACACATGTTGTGATATCTATCACTTTTAATCCACAGAAAACGAGCCTCCAGATTGGACACGGCATGCAGAAGTTGTGTTTATCACTCAAAACTCTACTTTACATCTGTTCCTGTCTCTATTCTGTGGGCAGCTGTTATTAATCCATTGAGTCATGTATGCATCAATTCAACAAATAATAGCTCACTAGATGCTGCCTGGAATAGAGTTGTGAATAAAGCACTGCTTTGATAAAAGGTACATTCTGGGCAAGGAGGGAGAAAGAAAAAAGGACGGAAATATTTCCTCCCAGTAAGGTAAACAATGAAATTAGTAAGGTGGAATGCAATCAGGTAAAAAAAAAAAGTGGTTAGGGTAGATCACACTCAAAGGGGCATTTGAGAGTCTGTGAGAAGCCATGTGAATATTTTGAGGAAGTATGTTCCAGGAGGTGGAACAGTCTAGGAAAAGGGTATAAGACGAAGTCCAGCTGGCGTGGCCTGTTCTAGCAATAGCACAGAGACAGTCTGATTGGAGGTGAGTGGTCACTGGTGGAAGACAGAGATATGATAGGATCCCAGAACATCAAGGTGTTTTCAGCTTATTGTAGGTCCTGGATATTTACTCCCAAAGGGAGACTTCTGGAGAGTTTTAATAAGAGGAATGACATGTTTTTAAAAATTAGGAATAGATTCATTTTAAAATTTGGACATAGATTGTAAGGGAGAAACAGTAGTAATATGAAGTCCATTTAGGAAGTATTGTGATATTCCATGGTATAAATGATGTTATCACCAGTATATTAATTTCCAGAGATGGCTCACTTCAATGAAGCAAGTGTGTGTGTAGATATTTACTTATAAATGTATCGAATATTTAAGGTGGCACTATTCAAGGTTTTATCTTCAGCGCCAAGTTTTACTCACTGGTGACGGAGACCAGGTGTGCTGTGATGAGGCGCTTAAAGCCTGGTTCAGGCTCAGAAAGAGAGGCTAAGCTGCAACAATGATGTCAGATATGTTCCATCTCTGTTCAAAAGCCGCACTCAGCAGTGGATTTTAAGTGGCTAAGATTTTCTGGCTTTTGGCTTAAAACAGACAGAATAAATGAAAGTACCTACAATTTAACAGTAATTTCTATAATAGCAGGATCCAAAAGGGTTTTTAAAATGTCACTTTCACTAACAATTTCCTTCATTGGATTCCAATTCCTCAGGAGTGAAGAGAAAAAAGTGTAGATTACTTAAACAACTAGTATGTTTTATAAGTACATAAACTTGAAAACTATATAGACTTTTCAGGAAATGATTAACCATTACCACATTCTTCTTAATGAGTGTATGCACTTGGAGCCTTGACTGAGAATTAGTTTTGCCAAGATCAGCTTTCCATTCTATTTCAGTACTTCAGGCTTCATGTACATCAATTTTAGGGTGATCTGAATATTTTAAAAAGTGACTCCTTTTGGATACATGGATAAAATATCAGCTGGATGTTAACCTTTAGTACAAGTGAGACACTATTTCTCTTCATATAATGTTATTTTTTCATTCCTTAGGTCAACTAATTTTATTTATTGCTATTGCCTGTAACCTTTAAACATATATGGATACCTATATACATCTGTATAAAATAAAGCCTTGAAATTATTTCTTCAAAATAGTGGTCATTTGCATTTTGTTGGCAGTGCAAATTTATCTTTTTTTATAATGCTTCTCCATCTTAAAAAGGCAATATCATAAATGAGATTATCCCTTCAAAAAGCAATCCCAGACTAGAATAAATCAACATATGGAAACCTCACAAATGGCCTTTAATATAATGGATATTACCAGAAAGTGTGTGCAACTGAAATCTTCTCAGACAACAATTTATTGCTGAATCCTCAGTGTAAGTTTTCTTTTCAAAAATACATTGTCAGCCTCCATCCAATAGTACTAATAATTTTCCATACTTCTGCAGCTGAATAAATTGGCATAAGATTATACAAATCTAAGCCTTTCAGGTCAACTTCTTTTTTCAGGGCTGGAGAAACTGAGGCCCATATAAGATGCAAAATCACAGTGAAAAACAAAAAGGAACTACTCCTAGCTCATTAAGAATTCTTTGTGCTGCCACATTAATTTGGTACAAATTTTTCTTATATGAAATTCTATTTCCAATTGCCATGGAAAACACAATAGAACAAAATAAACTTTTAATGTATGGAGATGACAACTTGGCTGAAATTTTTTGACAAATGAAAATATTTTACAGAGTGTTTTCTAAATAGCAGGCACAAAATTTACTGATTAAATGATTGTCCCCAAGATTGAGGTCATTCCAGTGAGATGATGGATATGATTTTGACCATGACTACCTTAGATTTTCCATTTAATAGAAATAATTGTATGCTGGAGCAGATGGAAAAGAGAGAAAAGTTAGATTCACTCCGTTTCTTATCCTCTTCCCCTCGGGTCTTATCACTTACTGTACAATTTTTGTTCGTGGTGATTTTTGTCACCTTCTTAAACAAACTTTATTTTTTAAAGAATACTTCCATTTACAATATTCGCAGAAGGTACAGGGATAGTCCTCATACTTCCTCCCCTGACATACACATAGCTTCCCCCATTACCAACATCCTCCACAAGAGCCGAACATTTGTTGCAGTTGATGAACTTATGTTGATATATCATTATCCCCCAAAATTCAGAGTTTACAGTTCACTCTTTTTTTTTTTTTTTTTTGACAGGCAGAGTGGACAGTGAAAGAGAGACAGAGAGAAAGGTCTTCCTTTGCCGTTGGTTCACCCTCCAATGGCCACCGCGGCCGGCGCGGCCGACGCACTGCACTGATCCGATGGCAGGAGCCAGGTACTTATCCTGATCTCCCATCGGGTGCAGGGTCCAAGTACTTGGGCCATCCTCCACTGCACTCCCTGGCCACAGCAGAGAGCTGGCCTGGAAGAGGGGCAACTGGGACTGAATCCGGCGCCCTGACCGGGACTAGAACCCAGTGTGCCGGCGCCACAAGGCGGAGGATTAGCCTAGTGAGCCGCGGCGCCGGCTACAGTTCACTCTTAATGTACATTCTATGGGTTTGGATAAATTGATGAGAAGTCCTCAAAAAGTTCATGGAAAGTGCATATTATTCTTTATTTTCATTTCTACAGGGTTTTGAAGCCCCTTCATTTACTGCCTTGAATCCACTATAATAGTGTAGCTATTATACTGACCTGAAAACCCACTGTGCTCTGCTTATAAACCAAGCCATTCCCCTCGCCATTGGCAATCACTGATCTCCTTACTATTGTCACAATTTTGTGTTTTCTAGAATATTATATGATTGGAATCATACAGTATGTAGCCTTTTCAGGTTGGCTTCTTTCACTGCTTAAAATGTGTTTAACTTTCCTCAATTTCTTAATATAGCTTGATAGCTCATTTCCTTTTAGCACTAGATAACATTCAACTATCTGGATATGTGACAGTTTATTTATCCAATCACCTACTAAAGGATATCTTGGTTGCTTCCAAGCTTTGGCAATTATGAATAAAAACTGCTATAAACATTGGTGTGCAGGAGTTTGTATGCAAAAAATTTTCATCTCCTTTGGATAAATATCAAGGATGCAATTTCTGGATCATATGTTCAGTTTTATAAGAAATCACCAAACCGTACCATTTCACATTAGCACAACGTAGAACTTCTTTTCAGATGCTATTTTGCCGATTTTGTATTATTATTATTACTAGTATTATTATTATTATTTTGGTTAAGTGTTTGTTAAATTTTTTGACCATTTTAAAAATCAGGTGGTTTTTATTGTTGCATTTTAGAGAGGTCTTTATGTATTTTGTGTAGCACTTCTTTAACTGACTTGTTTTTACAATTATTTTCTCCCTCTCACCATGCTATCTGCATGGGAAAGAAGGCAAAATTTAACCTGTCTTTTTAGACATGGGAAGAATATGAAAAAATTGAGGACATCCAGCTGATGTTTCAGTGACGGCAAGCACATTCTCAAGCCAGGTGACAGAATCAAACATACCCTACAAGGCACAGAGCAGGTCTTAGTACTTTCATCTCTGGAAACTTTATGCTGCTAATATGCGCCAACTATTAAAATGTTGGTTCTTCAAAGAATATTTCTCTAAGGGTCTGTTATTTGAGTCTGAAATAGACATCTCAGAAATTATTTTTGTTCTGTATGCAAAAAAGAAAAGAACTAGAGAGAAAAAAACAAGCATTCTAATTTATGTCAAATATGTAACACAGTTAACAAATCAATAAATGATGTAGTTAATTTTCTATTATTATGCAGAACCATAGGGTCTCCCAAATTTTCAGTTGCCTTTTCCTCCATAGTACTCTATACAATAGGCTTGAGACAATGGTCAAGGATAGGACTGTATTTTCTCAATTGTCCAAAACACAAAGGTATTTCAGCAGTGGGAAGGGTTTTGACCAAATTCTACTCCATATGCAGACTGTACAACTAAGAGACAAAATGCATATAGTAGAACTTTTTTATACCTTTAAAGTTGTTTGAAAATGAAAGATTTGCTCTAAAAATATCAAGCCTTTTCTTCCTGAGGCTACTCCACCTTTTTTGGAGGTAATCCCTGGTAATCATCATGAGAGCCCTACAGAGCAGAATCAGGAGTTCTTGCGAAATAATCCTACATGGTAACACCTTGCCTAATGCCACAATAACATCCTTCCCATCTACCGAGGGACTGCTTTCCTTCCTCTGTCCCTTACTGTGTCTCCAGGCATATCATTTTAGTATAATATCTGTAACTACACAGGAGCCCTCTGCTGATGTGTATTTTGTTCTCTGAACCTTTTAAGTTGGAGCCCCTCTAATCATCTTGGTTTCAGAGTTTCATGCCTTTTACACATTGTTATTCTAAATTCCACAAGTCATTTATTCACTCATAACCCAGGTCTTTCAAGCCTGAGTTTGCACACTCTGTTTCACACTATTTACCCCCATTTTTGTAACATTAGCCAAATTGACTAATACTAAAGCTGCGCGAGATGGCTCAAAATGAAAATAATGAACCAGCCTAGGAGTAAATATTACTGATTTATGAATAACAAAGCTTTGCTCAGAAACTGCTTACGGTATGAGTAGCTTGCTATAGTGTATGAACATCTTAGCATGCATTAAAACTATTTTTGTAAAAATGAGAAAACATTCCCTCTGGTAAGAAAAATTACTTTTTCTTGAAATTCAAGAGATTGTATATGCCCATTAATTTTCTTTACAATGTAATAAATTTTCAGCAACTCATCATATTTTTTATTTGAACACATTTCCTTAAAAGATGCTAATAATGTGTATATTACAAATTAGCTTACTTGACATTTCTTCCAATATCCTTCTTTTTTTAAAAAAAAAGATTCTTTTATTTATCTGAAAGAGTTACACAGAGAGAGAAGGAGAAGCAGAGAGAGAGGAGAGAGAGACACAGAGAGAGAGGTCTTCCATCTGCTGATTCACTCTCCAGTTGGCCACAATGGCTGGAGCTGAGCCAATCCAAAGCCAAGAGCCAGGAGCTTCCTCTGGGTCTCCCATGTGTGTGCAGGGGCCCAAGGACTTGGGCTATCTTCTGTTTTCCCAGGCCATAGCAGAGAGCTGGATTGGAAGAGGAGCAGCCGGGACTAGAACTGGCACCCAAATGGGATGCCAGCACTGCAGGCAGTGGCTTTACCCACTATGCCACAGTGCCAGCTCCTCCAATATCCTTCTGATGTTTCTTCCTGTCCTATAGAGATCTGGAGTTAGGTTTCCAGACATGATTTATGTCCCACAAATCAGAAGGAGGTATATGTTTAAGACTGGGGTTTAGAGCTTAAATAGAGAGGGAAGGAGTGGTGTGTGGTTCACTTTTCTGCTTGTAAATCTTACAGAAGTGGTGTGGCTCTGGTTACTGCTTGCTGTCTCCAGATTAAAATTTAGGTACAGCTTTTGTTTCCCAACATCAGCCAAAGTATTAGTTTCGTTGGTGGGAAGATGGGTAATATTGTCTTCAGAACCAATCCTGGAGCCAGCCCTGAATCTTTCAATACAATCTTATCAAACAATTTTGCCAGCCCTAAATCCTTATAAAAAGTCACAGCAAATTTTGCAACTTCAATTTGCTTTGATTCATGTGTGAGGTCCTGAAATGAGAGTTTGTGATATTGAAGGTTTCTGAATCTTCTTCAAAGATTTTGTACAATTTCTAGTAATTATTATTTTCCAAATAGTGCTATACTTTCTACCTACATTGTCGTGCAGTAACACAGAATCAGATTCTTTATCCCATTTTTTGGCTACATTAACCCACTACCTTTGTCATCTTTGCAAACATGTACTTTGAACTATCAGTATCACTCTTCTGTTAGTAGTAGATCCCTCGTGACTTCAAAGGTAACTCACCCTAGATTCCTGTCTTTGAGGATCTGTTGCCTGCAACTACTAACACAAACAGAAATATCAGACCATTTGAAATTCAATAAAATTCTAAGTTTTCTTTCCTACAAAGATGATGTATTAAACATTGGGAACTGGCTTTGTCACTTTACCTACTATTCATGTAAATTTGGAAAGTCATTTACTCCTTCTGAGTTTGTCTCCTGAGATTTAAATATGTTACAGGGTTCTTTTGAAAATTAAATGAGAGAATGCAGGGGCATGAACATACCCCATGTTCTTTTCACTGAAGACTTACTTCTCCCGTATTATATGTAGCTTTGGTGGATGTATTAATGATGAAGAGGTTTCTCAATACAAGCCAAGGGAAGCAAATTTTCTATTTTTCTGTCTGAGACAACACAGGGAGCAGGAATAATGACCTACATTTAGTGACCAAGAAGCTCTTGTCTGGTATTTGAAATCTCCCAGGTAGACTGAAAGCTATTTCTTATTACTACTATGGAAGTAGCAGTGGAGCCTGGCCCAATCAGCTCTATGCTGTTTCCAAGTTTCTACCTTTTGGACCTCCAGTGTTGCCTTGTCCCCTGTGTGTTCTCAAGTCTGTTTTCTCAGCCTCTTTTTGATGTTGTTAGCACTTAACACATAATAAATCTCTTTTGGTATAAATTATTTATAGTTGGTTAGTATTGGTTTTCACATAGAATACTGATTGATAGGGCACTGTTTTTTACTACACCATAAATGATAAAGCTTAGCCATGGAAAGGTTTGTTACTAATCTGAGGTCACATAGCTAGTTGGTACTAGAACCACGAGTTAACGTCAGCTCTTTCAGACCACTAAACCTCCTTTTATACTTAAACAGAACTGGATTTCTGCTAAACATGGCTGTCTCACTAAGCCCACATTTGTCTAACTGGTCTAATCTCTTAAGAGGATACCCTGGAATCTCCCATTCAAGCCAATTTGATTTAGTTTAAAATAAACACAGCAGAAAACAAAAGTGCATACCTATAAAGGAGGAGAATTTGCTACATTGCTCTCAATTCATCACATCTTGGCACCAAAACAATGTGAGACCAAAATGACTGCACTTGCTGGAGAGAAAAAAAAATTCTCTCCTTCACCCTAAATAAAGCAATAACCTTAGGTTGATCCATGTATTAAACTGAATTGTATTATCACTTAGATACTAATCAATATAACCCATTTAAAATTTAAGCATATGACTCATAGGCTGAATAGATATGTGCTATGTATTGTTCTTTATTTTGCATTAGGAGAAAATCTTCAGACTATTGATATAATGTCTATAGAAGATTCTGATTTCTTGTGTGAGCTATGTGACCTCAGATTAGTAACAAACCTTTCCATGGCTAAGCTTTATCATTTATGGTGTATTTATTAAAAATTATTATTAATTATTAAAATTATTTTCTAAATTATTCTTCTCAAAGGTTATATTCATTTTGGCAACAAAAATATTGTGACCTTAATTCCTGAACAAGAAAGAGAACTACAGACGAATATCGCTGATGAACATAGGTGCGAACATCCTCAATAAATTATTTGCTAATTGAATCCAAGAACACATCACAAAGACCAACTGGGATTTATCTCTGGTATGCAGGAATGGTTCAACATTCACAAACCAATAAATGTGATGCACCACATTAACAAACCAAAGAACAAAAATCATATGGTTATCTCAATAGGTGCAGAGAAAGTATTTGATAAAATACAACATCCTTCATGATGAAAACCTTAGGCAACATATATATGTGTATAGAAGGAACTTTCTTCAACACAATCAAGGCAATTTATGACAAACCCACTGCCAACATCATATTGAATGGGGAAAAGCTGGAAACATTCCCTTTAAGATCTGGACCAGGCAAGGGTGCTAACTTTCACCATTGCTATTTAATAATTGCCCCTGAACTTTTAGCTAGAGCCATTAGGCAAGAAAAAGAAATAAAGGGATACAAAATAGAAAGCAAGAAATCAAACTATCTTTATTTGCAGATGCCATGATTCTATATTTAGGGGATCCAAAAGACTCCATTGAGAGACTATTGAACTCATAAAAGAGTTTTATAATGTGGCAGGATATAAAATCAACAGAGAAAAATCAATAGCCTTTGTATACACAGACAATGTCACGGCTGAGAAACAACTTTTAACATCGATCCCATTCACAATAGCTCTAAAAAGAACTAAATACCTTGGAAGAAATTTAATCAAGTATGTCAAAGATCTCTATTATGGAAATTATAAAACACTAAAGAAAGAAATAGAAGACATTAAAAAATTGAAAAATATTCCATGTTCATGGATTGGACAAATAAACATCAAAATGTCCATGTTACCAAAAGCACTTTACAGATTCAATGTCATCCCAATCAAAACACCAATGACATCCTTCACAGATCTAGAAAAAATGATTCTAAACTTCATATGGAAACACAAAAGACTCAGATAGCTAAAGTAATCTTATACAACAAATACAAAGCCAGAGACATTACAATATCTAATTTCAGATACTACAGTTATAATCAAAACAGCCTGGTACTGGTGGAGAACAGATAACCAAGGAACCAACAAAGCAGAATAGAAACTCCAGAAATCAATCCACACATCTACAACTAACTTATTGTTGACAAAGGAGCTAAAATCAATCCCTGGAACTAGAACAGTCTCAAAAGCATGAAACTAGGCCCATACCTTACATCTTGCACACAAATTCACTCAAAAAGGATCAAAGACCTAAATCTACAACTGATACCATCCAATTTCATTGGGGAAACTCTGTAAGCCACTGGCATAGGGCAAATATTCCTTGGAAAAGAACACAGAAGCACAGGCAATCAAAGCTAAGACTGACAAATAGGATTACATCAATCTGAAAAGCTTCTGCACTGCAAAAGGAACACTCAGTAAAGTGAGGAGGCAACCAACAGAATGGGAGAAAATATTGTAAACTATAAAACTGATAAAAGGTTAACATTCAAAATCTATAAAGAGCTCAAGAAACTCAACAACAACAAAATAAATAATCCAGTTAAGAAATGGTTAAAGGAGTTGAACAGGTATTTTTCAAGAGTAGAAATTCAAATGGCCAACAGGCACTTGAAAAAATGCTCAGGATCACCATCTGGCTGAAAAGCCCATGAGAGTTTCACGGCATGGAAAGCCAAGACACTCTGGGGAAAAAAATGACCTAAATGAAAGACATCTGTGAGTGAGATCCCAATGGAAAGAACAGGCCATCAAAGAAGGAGGTACCATTCTCTGAAGGGAGGAGAGAATTTCCACTTTGACTATGGCCTTGTCTAAATAAGAGCGGAGTTGGCAAAATCAAGAGGCTTCCATAGCCTTGGCAGCTCATGACAAGAGCCTCAGGTGATTGCTGACATCATAAATAAGAGTGTCAATTGTTAAAGCAACAGGAGTCACTGTGCACTTACTCCTCATGTAGGATCTCTGTCCTTAGTGTGCTGTACATTGAGATTTAATGCTATAACTAGTACTCAAACAGTATTTTTCACTTTGTGTTTCTGTGTGGGTTCAAACTGTTGACATCTTTACTTAATATATACTAAACTGATCTTCTGTATATAAAGATAATTGAAAATGAATCAATGTGAATGGGATGGGAGAGGAAGTGGAAGATGGGATGGTTGCAGGTGGGAGGGAGGTTATGGGGGGAAAAAGCTGCTGTAATCCAAAAGTTTTTCTTTGAAAATGTATATTTATTAAATAAAAGTTTTAAAAAAAGAAAAAAAAATGCTCAGGATCACTAGCCATCAGGGAAATGAAAATCAAAACCACAATGAGGTTTCATCTCACTCCAGTTAGAATGGCTCTCATACAGAAATCATCAAACAAGAAATGTTGGTGAGGATATGCAGAAAATGTACCTTAATCTACTCTTGGTGGAAAGGTAAACTAGTTCAGCCACTGTGGAAGACAATATAGAGATACCTCAGAAATCTGAATATAGTCCTACCATATGGTCCAGCTATCCCTCTCCTGGGAATTTACCCAAACCAAAAGAAACCAGCATCTCAAAGAGTTATCTATACCCTCATGTTCTTTGCAGCTCAATTCACAATAGCTAATATATGAAATCAACCCAGATGTCCATCAATTTTTGACAGGATAAAAAAATTATGGTGAATATACACAATGGAATACCACTCAGCTATAAAAATAGATGAAATCCTGTCTTTTGAAAACTATTATGAAATTAGCCAGCCCCAAAAAGATAGATGTCATTTGTTTTTCTTGATCCAAGGTAACTAACTGAGTACCTAAAATGTAATGTTTAGGAGTGAAATGGACATTTTGAGGTTTGGTGATTATTTGTAGTCTTTGTCTCTCTTCTGTTGAGGAACAGTGTTATTTGTTTTTTGTTCTTTAGTTTTTTGTTTTGTTTTCCATACTATTTGTTGAACTCTTTTACTTAGTGTAGGGTTAACTATATGATCTTTAAGTGAACTGAAAATAGACCTTTGTAAAAATTAAGAGTGATAATATGAGAGGGAGGAGGAAGTAGGGTTGGAGCTTGGTTGGGTAGGAGGAGGGGGGAAGTATTGATATGTTTCTACTAAGTCTGTATATATACATGAAACTTGTATAACTTAAATAAAATTTAAAATTAAGAAATGAAGGATGGGTCTATCACTACTGACCCCATGGATCAGCAAAAGAATAATAAAAGAATATTATAAACAAAAACAATACTGTGTGAAATCCAGCAAAATTAAAAGTAGCTGCTATATAATTATTTCAGATTTGAAGCACAAATTTAGAGCTAATATGCCTTTGATATATATTTAATTTAATTTAAAATCCCATTATTCTGATCTGAAGAGTGCTTGTGACAATAGGAAATGGCCAATGGCATTCTGCAAACAATAACAACATCTAAATCATACAGTATAACCTAAATGAGTTCAGATTCTCAAACTTTTCTTTTTTTTTTTTTTTTGCTTTTTCTAACACATCATTTATTCTTGCAAATACAGAACATAACAAGTATTGTCTTACTTGCTGGTAGACTCCAGTGACTCAAGGGTAAATCCTGATTAGTCTAAACCAGTCTGGTAGATGCCATTCCTCTAGCTTGTGATTGATTTAAGAAGGGACATGTGACTCAGTCTTTCTAATGATTGAGTCATATCGTGGCAATAACATGTGTAGAGATAACCTCTCAGGGATTCTGAGGGACATTTCCTCACAATAAAAAGAAACACACAAGTACAAGTGGGGTCCTATTTTTTCTTTTTTGACATTGATGTACTTGCATGGAAGGCTTGAAACTGCAGCAGTCAATCAGAACTTCAATGGCTGTTTGAAGAACACTGAGCTGAAATATTGGAAAGAATTTACTCCTGAATCATTGAATTAAATAGCTATGGGGATGATTTCTTGTTGTATGAAATAATATTGTTTCCACATTGGTTAAGCACCTGTGGGTTGGAATTTATGTTAAGCCTAAAGCATATTAACTGATAAATAAGAAAGTGTTTCCCAGAAGCCCATAGCCCAATGAGTAGCTCATAGCAGGCATTCTGGTAGTATTCATCAAATAAATAATGCAAAGAGGCTAATATAATCTGATACCTTACAGACTTCTCCATTGAGAAATAAATATTTATTTGGACTATAGATGAAAATGATTGAGACTGACTCAACGATAAAGATGACTATAATGAAAGTGGTGTGATGGAAGAAGAGGAAAGAAAAGGCATATTCTGGAGCCTCTAGTGGCCACCTCAGGGCTTGACCTTTTTCATCCTTGAAGTGAAAACATGAACTCACAAGAGGGTGTTTTTCTTCACCCTTCATCCTAGTATAATGTCAATCAACCCTGCCATGGGAAAGCCTCGTCTCTCCATATTTCTAGCCTGTAGGCAGTAACTAGCAAATATTCTCTCATTTCATTTCCTAAGGTCTATATCTTCACAGTGGAAAAATAGGATACCTACCAAATATATAAAATGTACAAGCAAACCAAACAAGATGTGCTTAGTGGTTTTTCCTTCTATTGGTATCTTAGCACAGAGAAATGTGAGTTTTGCAGTTTCATTTAAAATGGTGCTTTGGTCTAAATTTATATGTCCTTTCAAAGTTGGTACATTGAAACCTAAACTCCAAAGTAGTGGTGCTAGGAAGTAGAACCTTTGGGAGATGACTAGGCCATGAGTACTTCAAAATAAGGTTCACGCTCTTATAGAAGAGCATTTAGAGAGCTGCCACCCTCTTTTTGCCCTTCTCTCATGTGAGGACACAGCATCAAGGCACCATCCTGGAAGCAGAGACTAAGACATCACCAAACATTGAATCTGCCTGTGCCTTGATATTATACTTTCCAGCCCCAAAACTTTAAGAACTAAATTTGTATTATTTATAAACTTTCCAATCTGTGGTATTTTACTATAGCAACAGGATTGGATTAAGACATAGCTCAATAATAAAATGCAAGCTCCTTGAGTTCTCCGACTGATGCCATAGACAGGAGTGTCAATTGGTAAAGTCAACAACAGGAGTCACTGTGCACTTACTCCTCATGTAGGATCTCTGTCCTTAATGTGCTGTACATTGAGGCTTAATGCTATAACGAGTACTCAAACAGTATATTTCACTTTGTGTTTCTATGGGGGTGCAAACTGTTGAAATCTTTACTTAATATATACTAAACTGATCTTCTGTTAAAAAAAAGAGAAGAAATTAGCAATTCCCAACTTGACTCTCACTGGGATTAAACATGACAATAGGTCTGATCTGATTTCATCATCATTTAAAAAAATCATCTATTATTTTTCACTTTATGTTTCTGTGTGGGAGCAAACTGTTGAAATCTTTACTTAATGTATGCTAAACTGATCTTCTGTATATAAAGAGAATTGAAAATTAATCCTCATGTGAATGGAAGGGGAGAGATAATGGGAAAGGGGAGGGTTGCGGGTGGGAGGGATGTTATGGGGGGGAAGCCATTGTAATCCATAAGCTGTACTTTGGAAATTTATATTCATTAAATAAAAGTTAAAAAAAAAAGAAGCAGGACAAAAAAAATAAATAAAATTAGCTATGGCTTTCTAAACATAAAAATAAATAAATAAATAAATAAAATGCAAGCTAAAATCCAAGAAAGAATTTCAGATATAAGAGAGGATATTACTCTTACCACCTTTGTAAATGTCCCTTTTACACGGTCTACATTTTATTTATAATGAAAAGTCTAAAACATATTTAATAGCATCAATAGTTCTCAAATGTCATCAATTAAATCTTTAACAAAAAGTCATTTCTGGTACACAGATATTTATAAATGTTGTCTTTACTGAATTCTATCCCTTAAATAATGATATAAAAATCTTTGCTTGTTTGTTATATTTGTTATGAATATGTAATTTTGATATACCCACCATCACTATCAAGAAAATATGTTTATGTGTGTATACTGTTTACATATGTGGTGAGTATGGCAAAATGTTAACAATTCTTTAATATATGTGTGCTTTTTGAAAAAAGTCATGAAACTTTTCCTGTATTCTTACTGTCAAGACCTCTCAGCTATCTAGCTCCTTGGTTTAAATGCTCTCACCTTCAGGTGTCTATAATAATGCATAACACTGACCTTCCTCCCATTTCTCACACAGCACTGTATCCTGGTTCAGCTCTTTCCTCTTTCCTGCGTCAAGCTATTTTTTTTCTATATTTCTTTGAGTTTTTAAAAAAATTATTTATTTTTTAAATTTATTTTATTTATTTATTTATTTATTTATTTATTTTTGACAGGCAGAGTGGACAGTGAGAGAGAGAGACAGAGAGAGAAAGGTCTTCCTTTGCCGTTGGTTCACCCTCCAATGGCCGCCGCTGCAGCCGGCGCACCGCACTGATCCGATGGCAGGAGCCAGGAGCCAGGTGCTTTTCCTGGTCTCCCATGGGGTGCAGGGCCCAAGCACCTGGGCCATCCTCCACTGCACTCCCTGGCCATAGCAGAGAGCTGGCCTGGAAGAGGGGCAACCGGGATAGAATCCGGCGCCCCGACTGGGACTAGAACCTGGTGTGCCGGCGCCGCAAGGTGGAGGATTAGCCTATTGAGCCACGGCGCCGGCCAAAAATTTATTTATTTTTTTGAAAGAGTTACAGAGAGAGAAGGAGACACACACACACACACAGACACACACACAGAGAGAGAGAGAGAGAGAGAGAGAGAGAGAGATTGTCTATCCACTGCTTTACTCCCCAGATGACCACAACAGTCAACACCAGGCCAGGCTGAAGCCAGGAGACATAAGCTTCATCCGAGTCTCCCACATGCATGGTAGGGGCCCAAACACTTGGGCCATCTTCCACTGCTTTTCACAGGCCATTAGCATGGAGCTGAATCAGAAGTAGAGCAGCCAGCACATGAACTTGTGTGCATACAGGATGTCAGCATTGCTGGGAGTATTTTTACTCACTATATCACAACACCAGCTCCTACTTTCTTGAGTTTTATATTTATGGACTTCCTGCAGTTTTTTTTTTTTTTAATTTTGCCTCCTCTAGATCCATTACTGACACATCTTCACATTTCTTTCTTTTTTATGATTCATTTATTTATTTATTTATTTGAAAGTCAGAGTTATACAGAGAAAGAGAGAGAGAGAGAGAGAGAGTCTTCCCACTGCTGGCTCACTCCCCAGCTGGCTGCAATGGCTGGAGCTGAGGTGCTTCGAAGCCAAGAGCTTCTTCCAGGTCTCCCATGTGGGTGCAGGGGCCCAAGGACTTGGGCCATGCTCTATTGCTATCCCAGGCCATAGCAGAGAGCTGAATTGGAAGTGAAGCAGCCAGGACTTGAACCAGCAGCCTTATGGGATGCTGGTACCACAGATTTTTAACCCTAAATAATTTAGTACAAAGACATATACTAAATATGTGCAAGACAAAATTATTTGGCCAAATACAATGATTCTAAAACTTTGGTACTGCACTCAAAAAACTCACAATCTATTAGGTGTCAGGTATTTTAATTGTTCAGTGAAAAACACATCTTGAAAACTGCCTTAACAAAAATTAACAAAAATCTTTAAGCAGTGAAAATGGAAGAAGCTTGCCCCTCACTGGAGTATAAATGTAAACTATCTCTTGTCTCCTGTCTCTTGGACATCTGTCTTCATTTCAGAATCATTATGTTCAAGATAGAATACACCATCTTTCCCTCAAAATTGATCTCCATTGTGAAGATTCTGTTTCAACCATCTGCTTCCTGTTATTCTAGTCACTTATATTAGAAGATGGACATTCTTTGCATTTTCCTCCCAGTCACTCTTCCAGTCTTGCCATTCACCAAGTTCTGGTCATTTATCCTTTGGAACATCTTTCATCTTTCTCTTTTCTTGTTGTTACCATCACCTTACTCCCAAACTGGATCCTGTTGTGCTTGTATTTCTACAGTTTCCTAGAAGATGGCCATGAAGTCAGGTCCTCCTTCATTCAAATCATCCTGTGTCCTTCAGAGAAACACACAATTCTATAACAGGAAACGACAGCACCCTACAGTGCAAAAATCTCTCCAAAACAAGCCTGAAAGGAAGATGAATAGCTAACTACTTCTGAATACTTGGTGATGGGAAGTCTGATTTTTTCAGTTTCTCATTAATTCACATTTTAATTAATAAAAAAATCCACATATGTAAGTTTATGTCTTTCTTGTTCTATCATCCTCTTTTGTGTCCTAGTTTTTCTTTCTTGAAATATGAACTCTCATCAAGCCTTCAAAGAAAGCTATTTTGTCCCCTTAAGCCAAGTATTTAAAATCTAGTTAAATGTACTCTGTTTTCATAATTGGGTCTGATATAAATATTAGATCTGAACCTTTTGATTGCCCTTGTTGGTCCTTTATAGTTGTCAGCATTATTTAAAATGTGTTGCCCAGAAATCAGACAACTTCTTGTTTTCTTCACACAGAATTTCCATCAATGGATTCACCTTCAAAATACAAAAATCTCAACTATTACCAGTTTTTATTGCTCTAAAGCAAAATTTTTGTGCTTGATCTCCACTTGACTTTAAAGGTCATTCAGAATCTATGTCTTCTGCCCTACCCAGCTCATTAACCTCAGCTTCCTAAAGCATTGGCTGCTTAGCTAGTCTGGAATTCTATCTTTAGCAATGCTTTCCATTCTCTCAGTCCCAGCCTTTCCTGATGTTCCCTCTTTTCCTGAAATTATGAATCTTCATTATACCGAAGTTCATCTTCTCTTTCCTTTAAAACCAATTCTGGACCATGTAGTAAGAAATTTGGTCTTCCCCAAATGAAGGTCTGGCTTTTGACCTAACAGATTACCGTTAAATTCTGGAGTGTTCTGCCTGATAGTAAGTCTTTGTTTGCTGGGGCCTTTGACCACAAGAAAGACTAACAATGCGATTTATGATGGGCGCATTAGGCCTTGCTCTATCAGTTCTGACCTCATGAGGAACTGGTGATTAAAGGTAATCTGAAACATGTGAGGGACTGGAGACCAATGGGCAGCTACACAGACCGTCTGTGACTGAGTCCCAATAAAAACTTGTTTTATGTGAAGTTTTATGTGAGCTTCTTTGTTGGCAACACGCTGTGTGTATCACCATGGGGCCAGAGGAGGCAATGCTGTCCAATGCACCTCAGGGGAAGATGAGCAGAAGCCGTGTATTTGGACCTCTACAGGCTCTGAGCAGTGCATCTCTTTCTATGACTGATTTTCTATATCGGTTTCCTGTAATAAACTGTGAGTATAATAGTTTTCAGTGAGTTCTATGTTGTTCTAGTGATTTATAGAACCCAAATTTCATTGTGAGGATTCCTGACATCATAGCCAGCTGTTCTGAAGTGAGAATGTACCTGGAGACCCCAAGAAATAAGGGTATTATTCTGTGGACTGTTCCTTCAAATTGTACAGTTGGTTCAACTCATTAGATAGACCTACTTCCTTCTTAAAGCTTCTTAAGACATCCTGTAAGTATGAGCTCCATCATTGGTGTCACCTTCCTCTAAATACATACGGTATTTATATGGAGTGGCCAAAGTGTTGTTGCTAACATAGACCATAGCAGTAAGTTATTAGACAGAAATTTTAAGTACAATCAGGTTTCGATTTTGGTTTGATAGTTATTTAGTAATCTAAATAACTTTAGAGATCAGGAGAGAGTGAAAGAAGGGAAAAAAGCTATGTGCTTGATGCTGTAAAAAACTATATGAAAAAGAAGATGGTAACGATACTGGAATGAGGACACATTAAGTGTTTTCCTAAGGAACCATTACATTAAGGAAATAGTTCCACAATTCCAACAACATTTATTGAGCACATATAGGCACTGAAATTGTGCTATCTACTCTCTAGGGATAAATAATTGATGAAGACACCTCACCTGATTATTATTGCAACTTTTTTGTGACAGAAAGTTATTTCAGAGGCTTCATAATTTGGGAATAGATCTCTTCTTTTCCACATCTTACTATATCAGAAGATCAATATTTTCTGTATACTCACTGCCTGTGACTAGTATTTTACCTCCTAATTACAACATTTTCCTATTTTCTTTTATAAAAATTATGTATTTAGGGGCTGGCACTGTGGTGTAGAGTGCAAAGCTGCTGCCTGCAGCACTGGCACCCCATATAGTCACTGGTTAGAGACCTGGCTGCTCACTCCCAATCCAGCTCTCTGCTATGGCCTGGGAAAGCAAAAAGGATGGCACAAGTCCTTGGGCCCCTGCACCCACATGGGGGACCTGGAAGAAGCTCCTAGCTCCTGGCTTCAGATGGGTGCAGCTCTGCCTGCTGCAGCCACCTGGGTAGTAAACCAGCAGATGGAAGACCTCTCTATCTCTCTCTTTCTCTCTGCCTCTGCCTTTCTGTAACTCTGCCTTTCCAATAAATCAATACATCTTTTAAAAATGCATATTTATTTGAAAGGCAGAGTTACATAGAAAGAAGGATACACACACATACATATACACACACACAGAGGGAGAGAAAGGGAAAAAAGTCTTCCACCTGTTGATTCATCCCCCAAATGGCCTCAAAGGGCAAGGGATAGGTCCAGCTGACGCTAGGAGCCTGGAACGTTATCAGGGTCTGACATATAGATGGCAGGGGCCTAAGTGATTGAGCCATTTTATTCTGCTTTTCCAGATGTATCATTAGGGAACTGGATAGGAAATGGAGCAGCTGGGACTCAAACCAGTGCTCATAAGGGATGCTGGCATTGCAGCCAGTCGCTTAACCTCCTGGGCCACAATGCAGACCACTCCTATTTTCTTTTCATATGAAATCTGTTAACATTTGGTATGGGGCTCCTGCTCAACTTAATAAAAGGGGACAATTCAAAATAGTGTGAAACATTTTAAAACAGTTGTTGTAATGCAGCAAGTAAAGCCACTGGCTCTGATGATGGCATCTTATGTCAGAGTCGCAGTTTGAGTCCTGGCTGGTATGCTTCTGGTCCAGGTTCTCCTAATATGCCTGAGAAAATGGTGGAAGATAGCAAAAATTCTGGGCCCTTCCACCAACGTGGAATCCAGATAGAGATCCTGCCTCCTGGCTTCAGTCCGGCCCAGCCTTGGCTGCTGTGGTCATTTGGGGAGTGAATCAGTGGATAGAACATTTGTTTCTCTCTCTCTTTTTCTCTTTCTCTCCCTCCCTCTCTCTCCTCTGTGTGTGTGTTGCCTTTCAAATAAATAAATAGATAAATAATCTTTAAAAAATAAATCAAAACAGACAAAGAGAAAACAGAAAGAGCAGTAATGATTAGCATATAAATTGAACAATGTGGAAACAGGCACAGAAGAATTAAAGGGACAGAAATGGGATCACATTGACATCAGGAATTAGTTGGGAGAAGATATTCATGGAAGGTTGATTCTTGGCTTCAGGACAACAGCAAGCAGTAGTAGATGGGATGGGAGGAATGAAGGTACCCACTGGCCAGAAGTTTGATATCCTTCCATGTTTAATACATCTTGGTCTGCTGCTTTTATTTTTACCTCTCCATAAACTATTAGGGGGACCTAAGGTTCATATTTCCTTGGTCTGGGATTATTACAGAGCATATTCTTTTATTTATTTTTTTATCCCAAGATAAGGTTTTTCAGAAAGAAAGGCATTTCAAATAGGCAACCTGGAGGACCCTAAAGGATCCTAAATTGGGACAATTCTATAAAAACTGAATGTTTGATTATCTCTTGTTCTCTTCAAATCACACTACAGATTCCGGCTGAGCTAGGGAGATGTGCAGTAGATCAGTAACAAGACATGAATTCATTATCTACCTGCTAGAGTCCTAAAACAACCTATCCATGGGATGGATGTGTAAATATGTACTTTATGCACATACTCTCCATTCCACTAGAGTCCTCCACAGTTAGTGAAACCACCTGCAACTTAGCTAACATTCATTCTCAGTACTGGAAAATCAATCTATCAAAATAATGCATTAGGTTTTGATGTGCTTAATCGGGTTTCCATGTGAGCACTAGCTTTCATGAATTACATAAGAAGAGTGTAGTAGTCCAGTTTCCAAAACTCTTCTGAATAAAAACAACTGGGGGAAGAATTATTAATATTAAAATTTCCAATAGGAAATAACTGTCTAGATGAACTTGTATCAGCCACTGCTTCATATGCTGGGCTAAGTATTGACCAACTGACAAACGATGTTTCTATTCCTCTTGTTAAATTACCCTTTCTGTTAAAAACAAATATATCTTTTCAGTAAGCAATGTGAAGTATCTTTATTATTTCCTGTGCTCAAAGAGTCTTCTGAAATAATACCTAAGACTCACATGTATGCATATATAAATATATATATATGCATATCTCAAACAAGCATGAGAGTTTACACTGAATTACCTAAAATATGTACTTCTCTTTTATATGGAGCATTTAGTGTCATCTTATAGCTTAAAAATTAGATATACTTTTCCTAAGATGATTGGAGAATTTTTTAAAGAGTGTTTTCAATCTTTTCTATCAAGAAATTAGTCTCAAGGAAGCTGATTCCCAGGATAGACTGGTTGTTTCTCCAAATTGTGGTAGTGTAAGATACTGTGTGGTTCTTTTTCAGTATATAATCCAGAGTTTTTAAGAAGCTAAACAAAAAGGATGAAGAAAAATATAATTTCAAACTATACAAAAAAAAAAAAAGCACAAGCAGCATAAAGACAGTGATACACAGATCAAACAAATATCTCAGCTAAGAGAAAATGTAACACTGGGGTTTTCAGATTAGAATCTTCTTTTCTGTTAGTATTTGTTTTCTTCAAGATGGGATGCAAAATAATATATATTCTATATTTCATTCAAAATAGAAGGTTAAATCTCTTATATAGTCTCATACCTGTTTCTCTTATGGAAATAAATGTATGTTGAATTAAAACATATGAAATAATAATTAAAAACTGCCACAGATCCTAACACAGCACTAACACTTCAATATGAGTTCATTGATACTTGCTGGGTTGAATAGTATTTTTCTGTGAGACTGAGCCTGGCCCTACCTATAATAAGATATATATAAGGAAGATATATAAACAGGAAGACAAGGATTCCTCTAGTAGCTAAGAGTTGTGGCCATCCATTATCTCCTTTGTGTGGAATGGGTTAGCCATTTTTTTGTGCATTTATTAAGGTGAAGTTTATAGCATTTAAAATCATAACATTGTAAAACATTCCTTTATCTTTTTCAAACACTTCCTTTTGGTTTAGGAAGGATACTGCCGTAAGAGTGTGTGATGGACTAGTTGACTTCCCAAGGTCTATTAATCTATGAAGTGAAAATTAATATCCTTTTATCAGACAAGTCTGGTATCCAATTAGCAGCAGAGCAGGTGCTGCACTTTTCTTCTGGATATAAAGAATAAAGGATGTGCATATCATGCCTCAAGAGGTGTACCAGTGTAAGTAGGACATTCTCACTCCGCTTTACTGCTACCCTGAAGGTAAATTGCTCGGATGTGCAGCTCGCTCCTGCAGTCCCTCCAAATATCAGAAATGAAAAGCACAGCTATGAAAGGTCCAGGCTTGGCTCTCTTCACCAGTAAATTATGGGAATGTTACTCATACAGCTGCTGTGAGTACCTGCTGTCTGCCAGATCCCCTTGCTTCCATTTCTTCTGCCCACTGGGTACAGCCAGTCATTTCCAAAAGCTAATTTGCAATTGATTATGCAATCTGCCAAGCCCAATCAGTGCATACTCATGACCACTCATGAGATCATTTGCCTTAATCATAGGAGACCTCCAGGTCATTACTTCACTATAGGGAATATATTCAGTGGAGATAGTTGTGGGGGTGCCCACTACCCAGCTGTCTGCCAGGTCTCTTGGCTTGCATTATTGTCATCTCTTAGATGCAGCCAGTTATATCCAAAGTCGCTTCAAAGGCAAATCCACTCTCTCTCAGTGAGAAATCCTTGTTGACTACTGACTTCCAAGGCAGCAGAAAAAATAAGGACCTTGAGGGCACTTTAGGATTTAAGCTTCTTTTGTTTTCTTTTCTCTTTTTTAAAAAAAATTAAGTGACATTAGTTTTCACCTAGAATTCATTCTGTTCAATGTATCAACATAATCTTTCTTTAGATTTCTAACAGAATAGCCTTCTAAAATATGAGGCTTCATTTTGTGATTTATCGAGATTGTAGTACCTCTTTATATGTGTAAGTCATCATTTGCTTTTTTTATATTACAAAAAAAATTTTAAAAACATACTAGCTCATCATATTTCAACATATAGGACTGTGGCTTATAGAGCTTGGAATTTTACAACCACCTAGTGCAGAAAATGCAAACATATGCCATGTGTTTGGCCATTCTCCTTCTCTTCTTTATATATAATACATGCACATGTGTGTATAATATGTAAGTGTCTTCAAAAACTTCATGTAAAATAAGTGTTATGAAAAAACTATGAATTTCAAAAATTATTTTCACTGAAATAAAGTTATCTCTTATGTGGGGAGCAACCCGGACTGGACTGAGTTACTGGAATTAAGACTTATTCTCTGCATCTGCTCTCCCACAATATGGCGCTGGGGGAGGAGGCAACAGCTTCTACCCAGCTGCCTCTCACCAACTTGACAAGCTGCAGGACCTGCTCCTGATTGGAGGAGAGCAGCGTACTCGGCGTGTGGGCAGCCGAGTTAGGATTGGTGGAGGACTATATAGGAGGAGAGAGACGGCATGCGCCAGGAACATGTAAGGGGAACATCTATCTGGAGGAACACCTGTGCAGCCCCCGAGAGAGCCGGCCGGCGGTGTGCCGCTCCCCTGCGGAAGTGGGGAAAGTGGCCAGGGGGAACCGCCCTTCCACGGAGGTGGAAGGGACAGTAGCCAACCTGGGAAGAACCAGCAGCAAACCCGGGGAGGGCCGAGCAGACGAAAGAACAGTGCAGGGTCCTGTGTCGTTCCTCCACGAAGAGGGGGAGCGACACTCTTAATTCCATTTTTTTTCACAAAGTATGTTTTGAAGTACGCTTATGTGTGTATATGTACCGTCTACCATATGCTGATCATGCTATTCATTATTATAGGCATTCAGGATGAAACATAGACAGAGAACTATGAAGTTCCTGCCTTCATAATGCTTATATTCCAGTCAGAATTAAAATATTAGTAACCTTATCATAGCATCATTTCTTCCTGAGCCCTGACAATAACACATGATCCTTCTCAATCTTTGCTGTAGATGGTCACTAGCAGTAGATAGGATGAAACATATTTGTCATCCCTGACCTAGCAATAATCTACTAGGAGACCAAAGAGTAACTCACCCTCAAAACAAAATGTTGAGTTTTATTTATCATACCTGTTACAGCAACAATCTACCATGAGCAGAGCAATAACTAAAACCCAAAACAAAGTACTGAGATTTACTAAACCATGTGAATTAAAATACCTCACCATAATTAATGTCAGATCAATGCACAGCCATTAGCTACTTAATCCAAGTCTCTTCCCAACATTGAATCTTACTGAACTGCCAGTTGTAGCATTCATAAATAATGTCATTACTTATAAAATTGAATTTTCAAAATACATCTTAAAATGTATACTGACTTATAGTTTTTTGGGTCAAAAAGTGAAACATAATAACAAACGATTTATTCTTTTGTTTATTCATTATTTCTGGACAGTTTATTCATTATTTCTGTTTATATAAATACAATTCCCAAAATTCATCTATGGTTAAATTTTATTTAGCTCACCATGTAATAAGTCAATATGGCTACAGTAATGTTGAATATATTATTGTCAATGACTGTAAAGTTTGAACAAGACTTAGCCCTGAGAGATATGTCAGCCCAAGTCAATGACCTATAAAATTAATCCTAATGAGGAAATGACAGTAATCACTTCCTTCAATTTATCCTGGTTTTGTCCATCAAAACCATAATTTTAATATTTTATTGTAATTTCCAAAGGAAAAGCTTAGCTTTTGACAAGAGTAATGTCTTGATTTTGGAATTTATCAATTTCTTTATGTTACATAAAAGCTCTGATCTTCTTTGCCTGTGTAAATCTTTTTGAACTTCCAAACATCAGATGAAGTGCCAGCTTATCCACAAAGTTATTCCTTATCATTTCAGCTTACTACAGTAGACACCTTTGTAAGCTCTTTTTCAACTTGTAATGTTTGTAAAAATAATTATACACCTAAACATGCTAATTGAAAAAGTGCACAAATTTTCTTATGTGTTCTTTGAAAATGATCACAGAGTTTCTTTTATTCTACAATACAATTGGCATTTATTCTTAAATGGTACCAAAGAATAAATCTCAGATTGTCTGTCTATTTACTATTGACCTTTGTATTGATTAAATGTGTGTGTATATATATATATATATATATGTTTATTTTTGTTAGTACACACCAAAATTTAAATTTCAGGCCTAGCCGGTGCCGCGGCTCACTAGGCTAATCCTCCACTTTGCGGCACCGGCACACCGGGTTCTAGTCCTGGTCGGGGCACCGGATTCTGTCCCAGTTGCCCCTCTTCCAGGACAGCTCTCTGCTGTGGCCAGGGAGTGCAGTGGAGGATGGCCCAAGTACTTGGGCCCTGCACTCCATGGGACCAGGATAAGTACCTGGCTCCTGCCTTCAGATCAGCGCGGTGCGCCAGCCGTGGCGGCCATTGGAGGGTGAACCAACGGCAAAGGAAGACCTTTCTCTCTGTTTCTCTCTCTCACTGTCCACTCTGCCTGTCAAAAAAATAAATAAAAATAAATAAATAAATAAATAAAAAGAAAAAAAAATGTCAGGCCTAAAGATGAGTTGGTATATGATAAAAACACAGCTTCTATTAGTTGGCATACACACATCATTGAATAGTTGATTCATATTCCTAAAAAATGGTGACATGTTTTTTGAACAATGCCCTACAGTTATTTGGTCAGATGTCAAACCTTTTGTAAAAAAAAGATAGATTTGCGTCTGAAGGTTTGTGCATTGAATATACTCATACTTTTCTCAGGCTATGAAATGTCTCCTAAGGCATAATTTAGTCTTGTGGCCTGATCTAATGTCAAAATGTTCTCCACATCTAAGGCAGACTGCTGGGATGAACCTGCTGATTTTGCAGATCCAATCTCCAAAGTGTACCTTGGAGAAGAGGAGGTAAGGTGAAGACAGAACATTTAAACTGCTTTTCAGTCCGTTTAACTGCAATCAACACCCACGTTTCAGCATGATATGTTCTGCAAAGTCAGACCTTGGTTAATAGAAATGGAAGGGTATTACTTCACGCACAAGAAAATTAAAAGACTCTTGAATTTAACAGTTTACCAGGTTTCCTTTTTACAGGATTTTTCAGAATCTGTAATGTGCTTCATATATGACTTGAGTCTCTAAGGCACTGGTACAGTATTCACAGTTTCCACATCTATTTGACCAATACAACTATTTTTATTCAAATATTTATTTTTTATTTGAAAGGCAGAGTTACACACACACACACACACACACACACACACACACACACACAGAAATATCTTCCATCTGCTGGTTCATTCCCCAAATGGCTGCAATGGCCAGCATTGAGCCAGGCTGAAGCCAGGAGCTTCTTCTGGTTCTCCCACATGGGTACAGCGGCCTAAGTACTTGGGCCATGGTCTGTTGCTTTCCCAGGTGCATTAGCAAGGAGCCAGATTGGAAGTGAAACAGCTGGGACTCAAACTGGCACCCATATGGGTGGGTAGCACTGCAGATGGTGGCTTTATCCACTGTGCCACAGTGCTGGGCCCCAGAATCATCTTGTTTCAAAATACATTCTTGACATTTGCAATGAAATATACAGATTTCCTCTGTCTTCTAAAGCCTTTATTTATTTATTTATTTATTTTATCATATACCATATAAAATACATTCAATTGTTCATAAGAAGCTCAAGTAAATAGAGTAGAAAGAATTTTAGCTTCCAGGAGCTCATAGACTTCCATAGAAGTTCTACTGAGTTAAATTATTATTTTAACTTATTTATTTTACTGGATCAATGTCAGGATGTTATAAAATAAGCCATTTTTTGATTGAGCCTGTTCTACAGTTGTCCTGAGATAAGTTGAATCAAGGAAAGATGTGTCCTTTTGTTAGTATCTTATGGTTACAAAATATTAGTATTTGTATTTGCATTGAGATAAAAGCAAATTGAAACAATATATTAAATTTAACTAATGTAAAGAAACCTTGTAGTAAGAAGACACAATAAGGCATTTCTTTCTTTCTTTACATTCAAACCTAAATTGGACAGACCTCTACATCAGGATTTTAGAAATAAAGAAAAATTAACTGCATTGCCTTTAGAGCTCACATGATAATATTTAAAGTATAATCATCACCTTTGAATATAGACTGATTCATTAGAAAAATGTAAAAATTGGAATTACTGATATTATTGATGCAAGAAAATAATACATTATGGTCCATGAGAAACTCCATAATAGCCTGAGGCACACGGAAGGTAGGTAGCCTGCTTGAGATCACATTGCTAGCAAATCATAATGTTAGATCCAAACTTAGGTCCTAGATATCCTATTTTGATAGAGTGCTTCCAAATTGAGATATGTATGAAATCCTTTTAAAGAGAAAATATGAAAGTATCATGAATTTGTGACTGTATGTGTGGACATGGAATTTTAAAAATTTTCTCATTATTCACTGCTAAGAGAGGTATCTTTTTATATCAGATAAAATGATTATTTAAGGATTATCGTAAAAACTGAAGACAAAAATTTAAATTTCTCATAGAATTTGTGGCTTCCAAAGAGTGTGGGGGAGAATGACAACTGAGAAACTGGCTTAGTTTTTAAGACCACAGGATTTAGATAAATCCTGACTGCCATGGCTGTATCACTTCTCAGCTTTCTTAGTTTCCTCCGTAAATTGGGATGAAAATATCCGCTGTTAGGGCTGTCATGAAGGTTAACTGAGAAAATGTATTTCAAATTATTTAACACAGTCTCTGCCACAGAGTAATTGCTTAATAAATGATAATGACTGTCATCCAGTTTTCTACCTCAAGGCTGTCCACTAAGACACACTGACCTCCTTCTGGGTATCATAATGTTGTTCTATAAGTACAGAATCATATTTAATTTCAAGTACCCAATGCTCCCTGACAGAAAGACCCAATTGCACGTCTTTGCCAAAGAAATCTCTTCTGGGAAGTCTTTATGGGAAAGGGTCAATAAATGGTTTTGTCTTAATGATTCTCATTGTCAGGTTACCAATTCCCATCCTACATTCTTTAATTAGATATGCTAAGATCTGTAAGCTGTTTGTAGGCAGTTGAACGCCTACAATCCCTTTTACTTATCCAAAATTGAATTTAAGTCTTCTGTTTTTCTTCTTGGAGGGCAGATACAGGTCCAAATTCTTGAATTGTACCTTATGTTAAATCCTGCTTACCACCTACATTGAAGAACAATTTCTATGAAAACTAAGCAAAATCAGTGAACCCATAGCTCCTCTGTAGTTTTACCATCGTGACTGGGACAGAAAAAAAAATGGGAGAGAAGATGGAAGAAATGGAAAGGTGACCAAATATGACTTAAGAAGATACCTGTTATCCCACTTTTCTTTGTCACAAGATGTTTTCTGCTACTCTATCAAATCCAGCAGGAGTCCAAATGCCCTCGAATCTGTGGTTAAGTGAAGCTATTGGAAATTTCTGCATTGTCATGTCACCCGCGGGGTTTGGAGCTTTCCAGAGTGAAGGACAAGTTAGTTGCAACTTATCATTCTTAGAAATTTTATTTAGCAGCCTAATACTATTGGAATTTGATGAGTTCTTTTTCCTCACCTGAGTTCAGTTCCAAGGCTTGTAACTTGGGGTCAGAAATTTGTCTCGGTTAAATCTTCCTCACTGTAAAGTCCTACAGTCAATACAGACATTTCAGATTACAGAAGGACTACATACCCATCCTACTGGGAACCAGTTAATTAAATAAGCCCATAAGGAATACCCAAACAGTTTTATAGCTGATTTCTATCCATACCCTTCTATAAATTTATAGGAAACTCAAAGAAATTAAGAATTGAAAGCAAACTTTGAGGTCATCTAGCCTAATCTTTTCAACTTGTATAACTACATTACCAGAGGACATTTCATTGAGGACATGGGCCACATCTTTCTCATCAGTCTTCTCAAGTGAGTTGAGACATGCCTGAAGCCCTAAATATAACTGGCGATTTCAGACCTTTTGGGTAAATAAGAGCATTCTAATCACTATTTTATGTTTTCTGAGTATACTGTCCTATTTTATTCAGCCTTAAACAAATGAAATAGTAAGCACAAATAGGTTGAGGCATAGTGTGGCTCCATGGTCAACAAGACTTAATTTTCATTGTTCAATTGTCAGTGGTTATAAATAATTTCAACATGATACTAAATCTATTGGAGCAACCCTCATCCAAGGGATTAATGTAGCTCACAACCTTCTGAATGTTCTTGTAGGAAGAAAGAACATGTGAAAAAAAAAATTCCAACAAAAACCAATATATATACAGGGAGTGGATACTTTGAATCTTCAGCAGAGAATATAGCACTGAGGTGCCACCTAGTGACAATATTCTTCTGGCTGTGAAAAGCACAGAGTTGTTAGCATCAGGTCATCATTAAGTACATTATAACAGGAAATGTCTCTTCACAATTCGCTTTGCTTTGCTAAATTCAGACAACAAGATGAGTGATGAACTGTAAGCATTTGAAATTCACAAAAGCAAAAACTAATAATCAAGAAACTACCAAAGTTACCAGATTTCTTTATTTCTTGAGGAAACACATATCCTCAATTCTAAACACATACAATAAACGGAATTTCTGGCACATGAGGTAATAAAAAGAATAGAGCACATTCCTTCCTCTACCACTATACTTAGTGTTATCTCCTCAGATTCTCTTTTTATTGAACTCAACAAGTAGCACATAATAGATACTTAATAAAGAATTTTGAAAGAGGGACTGGTGTTGTGGTATAGTGCGTGAAGCCACTGCCTGCAGTGTCAGCATCCCATATGGGCTTCTCTGCTTTCTATTTAGCACTCTGCTATGGCCTGGGAAAGCAGTGGAAGATGGCCCAAATGCTTAGGCCCCTGCATCCACGTGGGAGACCAGGAAGAAGCTAGGAGCTCCTGGCTTTGAATCTGCCCAGCTCTGGCTGTTGCAGCCATTTGGAGAGTGAGCCAGCAGATGTAAGTCCTGTAACACTGCCTTTCAAATAAATAAAGAAATCTTTAACAAGAACAACAACAAAAAAGAATGTTAAATACATGCATTAGTGAATTGATACTCCACGAATCCTTGAATCCTTGAACGTAATTTCTTTTTAAAAATATTTCTTTAGATTTATTTGAAAGGCAGAGCAAAAGAGTGGGAAAGACTGATATCTTGCTTCTGTTGGTTCACTTCCCAAATGGCTGCAACAGCCAGGACTGGGCCAGGTTAAATCCAGGAGCCACATGGGTGGCAGGGGCCTAAGCAATTGGGCCATCATTCTCTGCCTTACCAAGCACATTAGCAGGAAGGTAGACCATAAGTGGAGCTGTCAGGACTTGAACTCTGATATGGGGTGCTAGCATTACAAGTGGTGTCTCATCCCAATGTTCCACAACACTAGTCCCTTAAAGAATTTAAAATCATTATCTAAGAAAGTAGACAGTCCCAATCTGTCAATACTAACTATGAGATCATGTGAGAAAACTCTGGATACCTGAGTATGATCTCAATTTCATTTGAGAAAAAATCCTGAAATCAAGGGGGTTTAGTGGTTAAATGTAAGAGAATGATAAAAAAGGTAATGCCAGAAAAAGGGATAAAAAAGTATTATGAATGTATTATGATGATTCATGAGACTTGTCACTATTTTTGCTTAGCTATAGGGATTACTGCTAATAGAATATATTTATTTATGATGTTAACCTAGTCAGCTTTCCATTATCAGTTGTAAAGTTGGCATACAAGATATCATTGCTCACTGTCTGCCCCCACAACACTTTTCTAAAAAACAAGCCTGTGGAGTGGGTATCTGGCAAAGTGGTTATGATGCCACTTGGGATGCCTGTATCTCATATAAGAGTGTCTGGGTTCAAGTACTACCTCTGCTTCTGATTCCAGTTTCCTGCTTATGAACAATCTTGGAGGCAGCAGGTGAATGCTCAACTGGTTGAGTCCTGCCACTCGCATGGGAGAACTAGAGTGAGTTCTGGGTTCCTAGCTTTAGCCAACCACAGGACCAGCTATGGCAGGAATTTAAAAAATGAACCAGCAGGTGGAAGATTTCTGTTCATCTGTCTGTGTCTCTCCATATCTCTCTATGCCTTTCAAGTAAAGCCTAATGGTAAAGATGCAAACTCACATGCTCATTTGTTTATTGCTGAGTCCATCGGTACTACTCTGATGCAATAAAAGGCGATAAGTGAATATAATTGTCATTTTATGAACTGGGAAGATTTCTGATAGCCTGGCTTCATGGCTAGAGTCAGAAAGTCCATATGTCCATAGGTTTTTTGAAAACCACTAACAGAATCTCAAAGACAGAAAAGGTGATGTTAAAAATGTCATATTTTGTTTGTTTAGATGAACAAAATAGAGGTGGTTTATTTTAGGTAGAAAACTAGTTGGTCTGTTATTAGAATAAAAGTGCCCAAACAAGGACTCTCCACTTACAATGGTTCAGATTTTGGATCATTATCCAGGAGCTATTTAGCAGATGAGTTTGGATTATTGGGTTTTGTGAAGATGGGATGAGAATATATGTGAAATGTCTAATGTAATGCAGGAAAATCCAGAACCCAGAAAATACTTGCTGCATTTGTGTGTTCTTGGGTAAATTGTATAACTTCTCTGAACTTCACATTTCTTGTCTATAAAACACTGATGCAAATAATTTATGTATCTTAATATGTATTTTTAAAGTAGTATTGAAAATACTTCTTAAATTATAACTCAACACTGAAAGATAGGTATGTGCATTATCTTTAAGTGAACCAGAAATAAGCATGGTCTATTTGCTCTTGTAAGTCTGTATTTAGTCTATTTAAGGTAAAAAATTGAAGGAAGATGCAAAGTAAACTTCTACAATTTTCTGGATGACCAGGTAGTCCAAGGGTGTGGGTGCCTGGACTTAGTGATGCCTATGAAAAGAAAAAGTCTCCATATCTAATAACATCCATTCCATGTTTCTATATCACTGCACAATATCCCCATCATTAATATAAATTATTTTTTTATTTATTGTTTAAAAATAGCTTTAAATTTTGAGACCTTCCTGCTAATGCACCTGGGAAAGCATGGAGGATGGCCCAAGTGCTTGGGCCCCTGCACCCATGTGGGAAACCTGGAAGAAACTACTGGCTCCTGGCTTCTGATTGGCACAGCTCCAGTCATTGCAGCCATTTGGGGAGTGAACCAGCAGATAGATTCTCTCTCTCTCTCTCTTTCTCTCTCTCTCTCTCTCTCTCTTTCTCTCTAACTCTGTGTTTTGAATAAATAAAATGAATCTTTAAAAAAATTTTATTTGAGAAGGTAGAGAGAAAGAAGGGAGGGAGAAAGGGAGGAATGGATGGAAGAAAGGAGAGACAAAGAGAAAGACAGAGCTCTCATCTGCTGATTCCACTGGTTCATTCTCCAAGTGCTCACAATGGTGTGGGCTAGACCAGGATGAAACCAGGGTCTGGGAATGCAGTTTCCCATAGAGGTGATGGGGCCCAACTACTTGAGCCAAAACTTGCTGCCTCTTAGAGTCTGCATTAGCAGGAATTTAGAATTTGGAGTCGAATTGGGGTTTGAAGTTATGTATTAAGATAAGGAATAAACGCATCTAAACTTGTTCCTGAACCACTAGGCTAAGTGCTTTTCCCAGAAATAAATTATTTAGGGTTCAACTAGCAGCTTCTTTTAAAACACAAATACTCCCAGGAAGGTGAATTTGAGCTTCGTCATCACTAGGACTATCACACATTCATGCTTTGGTTTAATAACTGATCTGATAACAAGACCTAGAAAACATTGTCTAATTTCATATGATAACCCTTGTGCTGGATTCCAAGTTGCATGAGAAGCTCTGGCTGATGACTGACTGAGGATACTGGCGTTCTAGAGGCGGCAAAGGGGCAGTAAACAGAAACCAGGTTACCCAAAGGTGATAAAGGCAAAATCAGAGAGCTCACCTTCCAATCATTTTACCCTATTCTTCTAAATTAAAAAAAAAAAAAAATCTCCATTAAAGTGCATTGTTCCTTTTCTGTTTACCTTTAGCACTCCAGAATTAAAGGTAACTTAAAATATATGTGTCCCTTTTTAGAACAACTATAAGCAAGTATTTGTTGGCATCTACAGAATCCTTTGTCCAGGAAAGGAACCATTTCCTACATGCTGTGTTGAAAGACTAATCACTTCTTAGACTGAAAAATCATTAACTCCAATTGTTTCAAGATTTACTTGTGTTTCTGATTCTTTCATGTTATAGGTGCCTTCTCTAATTATTTGCTGGGCCAGTGGGGATTTATCTCTTACATAAAGATCTTTTGTCTTTTTGTTTTACAGACAGGTATGTGTGTAATATCAGTTGATTTGTTTTAAAAGTATTATAATACTGTTGGTAGCAATGTGTTCTCACAATTACAAAATTTTAAAGAACATTTCACAATTTCTACAGTAAAATTATTGCACAAGAACATTTAACATATAAAACATCAACATTCATTTGTCTTGAATATCAGACAAATCCAAAGAGGCTTGGCAGGTTTGAAGGGAAAATATTAGATGCACAGAAAAGGAATTAGTTGTTCACCTGGTATGATAGGGAGAATAATGGCCTTCCAAAAATGTTCACATCCTGATTCTTGAAGGTTCCTTGGTAGATGAAATTATGGTTGCTAATTAGTTGACCTTAAAATAGGAAGATTATCCTGTCACTGGCATGCATCCAAAGTAATCATGAGGGTTCTGAAATGTGGAAGAGGCAGGCAGAAGAGGCAGTCTCAAGGTGCCATGATAGAGGGAAGACCTGAATGGCTACTTCTGGCTTTGAAGACGGAAGAGGAACATGAGTGAAAGAAAGTGGGCCCCTCTAGAAGCTGGTAAGGCAGGAAACAGATTTTTCCCCTACAGCTCCACAAATATTTTTATTTTAGCCAACGAGATCCATTTTGGACTTTAGCATATTAAAGATTTGTAACTAACACATGTAGTATGTGACTTTGAAGCACTGATACACATATTGGTGGTGCTTTACTCTGTGTCCTAAGTAGATGAAAATACCCTAAAATGATATTCTGAGATAGATCTGAAGATAGGTCAAGAAAAAACATGATTGAATAAACAATGTGAAGCAAAAATTAGGAGAGAGTATACCAGTTTTTCCATTATTTTTAAAAAGAGTATCATCCTAAATTACATCATAGGTTTTCTGCTGTGCTATTTTTTCTGAAAATTAATCCACTAATTATGGATAATTATAATTAATATCTAAATTCACTATATTCAGGCATGTAACGTTGGAATTTGAAATACATTCTGAGTTGTCTTATATTCCTTACACTAACAATCAGAGAATAATGGAATCTTGATTGTTTCAAATTAGGGAAAAACTCTCAAACCTTAACAAATCCTAAAAATAAATTTTGAAACAATACCAGAAGTTTCATATCTATTTTGTAGGAACTTACCATGCAACTTGTGGAGAGGTGTTTGTTGTCGGATAATCATTTTCCTAAGAGATGGTACCACACGTAACCAGAGGCCGTGCTTTCACAGACTGCTCGACACTTCCTAGCCCTCATTCTTAATTTTCTCATTTTATACAATGATATTTTCACAACACCAAAGTAATATTATTCCTCTATTTAAAATAAAGCAAATGCTGAATCCATTTCCATACAACAGGATAAAGTCCAAACCATTTGTCACAGCATCCGAGGTATTTTCGCTATCTCCATTTGTGTCCCTACTACCTACCTACTCATAGAAATGGGTCATTGTGTCATCCTCTCCCTCTCCTCTGAATCTAATGAATAACCAAGCCCTGATGTACTGATCTTTCAATGATGCTTGAATTGCTTCCATTCTTTCCTTCCTACTACTGTTGTCCTTTTTTAGGCTCTCATCATCTCTTTCCTGGTGTTATACAATAACCTTTTCTGATACCATTTACTCATAACAATTAATTCTTCACCCTTATCCTCAGAGTTACGTAAGAATACTTAATCATAAACTTATATTGAAGACTAAACTGACCAAGCTTCCAAGCCAGGTACATAAGAACTTTCAGGGTCCAGATTTTTCTACTTCCCTAGTCCTGTTCCCTTTTCTGTGCCCTATTTATGTCCAGAAATGACATGTAGTTGTCCTCAAGGGCACTGTGTTGTTTTATCTCTCTGTTCCTTCACCCATATTGAACTTGCTTGGTGTAGAATGGTTTTCCTCCTTTGTTCTCAAGTTTAAACTACAAATCCAGGAACCACTTTCTCCAGAAGGTCTTTTCTCCTGCTCCTCAGACTGGAATAGAGTTCCTAGAGTGCTTTTTACATATTTGTATTGTAGCACATATTGTGTTTTATTAATACATTCTGTTTTCATGTTCTGTCATCCATGGAAATAGGAGATTCATAAAGATGTGTGCTGGGGCAGCTGCATCTCTACTGAATGCTGTGGTGTGAGACTCATTTAGATTCTAAGTCCCTGGGAACTGACAGAACTACATAAGTTGGCTTAGTTTTAATTTCCCAGTTTCCTCACTTTTCTAATGTTATAGATCTATATTCATACATAAATTTGTCATCCATTTATCCTTCCATCCATTCAGGTATAGTAAGGCATATGCATTTGATCTAGTCATTGATGTTTTTGAATTTTCTGTTTGTTAAACAAATAGACACATTACTCAAGCTTCATGCTACAAGGAATTTGCTTAATGTTTCATTGATAATTTTCCAATCCTTTCTAAACACGAATGAGTTTTATTGGAACACACTACTGGTACCTGTGAGATCCTTCTTATGCAGTAACCCTGTGGACTATATAGTTTTCTAAACCACTGATTCATTCATCAATTTCTTGAGGAAATATAAATTCTTGATAATTAGCTACAATCATACAATTCGATGATGCAATAAGGAAACCTGGTTTCACAAGTCGTGCATCCCATATGGACGACCATTTGAGAACCAGTTGCTTCATATCTAATCCAGCTCTCTGCTAATGTGCTTGGAAAAGCAATGGAAGATGGCTGAAGTGTTTGGGCCCCTGCACCCATGTGGGAGACCTGGAGGGGGCTCTGGGCTCTTGGCTTCAGCCTGGCCCAGCCCTGTCTGTTGATGCCATTTGAGGAGTGAACCAGCAGAATCGAAGACCTCTTTCTCGCTCTCATTCATCTCTCTGTAACTCTGCCTTTCAAATAAATAAAAAATAAATCTTTGAAAACAAAAAAACCTTGTTTCACATCCTACTTTGATTACTGTAAGCCTTGCTAGCATAAAAGTATTTTAGGAACCTCTATTAATATAAAATTATGCAAAAGAGTGAATTTTATTCCAATTGGTGGTAAATTGATTTTGTCTTTTCTATTATATTATCTTCTTCCCAGAAAAATTTCAAAAAATGATCATAATAGATACCACCTAATGTAAACCAAAAGGTCTTTTGCAGCTATTTGATTGTAAACCCCCTCCCCACCTCCTTTTTTTTAGTGAAAAGTCTTTATTAAGTGACTCTAGTTTTGGGGAAACCACCTGAAACCATCTCCATGAAGGACCTGCAAGACACGGTTTTATATATAGACACAGAAATCAAGCCAGCATTCACCCTTACTCTTGTAGATTGGCTACCTCTTGGCTGCTATTCCTTGCCAATTACACCTAATCTGTGAAGACTGTGCTCAAATATGCAAAGATTTCCTCCAGGCAAAATTGTCTGCTTCTTTCTTTAGGCTGAAATTACAGAATACATTATATTAAATAATGGTTAGCTACACATTTGCTTGTCTCCTTAGTAGATTATAAACCCATTTAGGATAATAACCATATGTTCCCTGCACTCACTGCTTGATATAGTTGTTACTCAGTAAATGTTTGCTAAATAGTGAACTATATTCTTCAGAGGACTTGGGTAAGAAGGCTTCCTGGGCTAAGTTAAATAAAGGTATTTTCCTTTTTAATAATACTCAGTAAGCATACAAAGTGAAAACTTATTTGATAAGTAGAGGAATCAAATAAGACTTACTCAATTTAAAATGGGATTTCCTTTCCTGATATGCTGTTTTCTGAGGAAGTCCAATATGTCACTTTACAAACATTACATCACTCTATTTTTCCAAAAAGAAAACAATTTCTGTTGTTTAAAGTGAGGCACATCATACACATATTTGATGGCAAAGCCCTGGCATTTTAATTTTGGTTTTGCCATACCCTGGTTGAGTGATCGTTGGTAAAGCAATTGTTTTGTCTCCTTCCTCATCTCTTGTATAAAACTAGGCTTCTTTCATGGACTTAAAAACAATTTAAAACTCTTGTAAATGTAACTTATTTTATATTAGATGTTTTAAAATACTAATATTTCCAAGTCCAACTGAGGGGTCTGTGTTTAATTTTTTGGTTTATCATCCTATATAAAAATATTTTTAGCCACTTCTCCATTTACCAAAAGATACATGCATAGGATCATTTTTATTATGAATAGCGATGGAATGTATTTAAAAGTTACATTACTTGCAGAATAATAATTTTCAGTTGATGTCTGCTGAAGGTTAATTCTAGCGACAAAGTAACGACAAATGCTAGGCAGGGCATCTGTGGTGCATTAAATAAACTGCTTAATTTTAATCTGCCTTTGCACTAAAAAGGTTGGCTGAATTAGTATTTATTAATGTTCTGAATCTATAAGAAGCTAAGTGAATGCTGGTTTGGCTAAAACTTTAACTTTCTCGATGATTACTTTGATGTGATGTAGATAGTTATGGACTAAGAATATAAAAACAGAAGTAGGACATCATTGTTCATTGAGTCAGCATTGATTTGTGATCAAGGTCTCAACAGAATGTACTTTTTTTACATACTCAAGAACAGGTAGGATGTTCTAGCAAACCAATACTTTTAGGAATAATTGTTATTCCAAGTAGACAACCTCAATCTCCTTTCCACTCTTTAAAAAATGTAAGTCTAATGTTAAAATTAAAATAAACTCCAAAGGTTAGCACCAGAATGCATGTTATTTTTGGTTAAATGGAAATAGTGTAAGTGATTTAATAGGATGCTGGTGTTATTGACCCAATGGTAGTAATTTTTTTATCTTGATGCCCAGAATATAGACCAGAAAAACTTACAGTCTGTAGCATGCTGTTAACATGGCAATTACAATAAAAGTAGTCTAAATTTTCAAATTCACTGCATATCTCATTCATCAGGAAAATGCCCCTTACCTTTAAAACTTTGAGACTGACCAAAGAATAGTTTTCTTTTGTTCTCATTACATGCTATATTTTGTGGCCTTTTCTTGAATAATGACATTAATAATTCAGTTTTCATTCCTTTCAATTGAAACAGATTCTAACTTGTCAGGAATATATAAAAATGTAAGTTATGTCTTCAAGATCTCCATTTCTTAAACTTATGCACATAAATGATATAAATCCACTTTCTTCATTCTATTCTCAGTGTGTTCAATATTTTTATAACTATATCCACTTTATCTTTGATTTAACTCTCGGGAAGTAATAGTAGGAAATAGGAGGTCTGTGTTGTTATTTTATATTCTCTTTTGCCACTTATGTAGAAGCAGCAAATGGACTAGTTTGTGAGATAAGATAATATTTCCTATCTCCTGCACACTTTCATGAGAACTTTCATTCACTATTGTTATTTGGATAATTTTTTTTTTAAAAAAAGCTTTATTTAAAACAACTGGAACTTTTAAACGTTTGGCGTTATTCATTGAGCAAATTATTTTCCTATGTGCCTTTAATGATCTTTTGCCTAGGGTTATATATTGCCAAATTCTTCTCTTGGTATCTCTCTCAGCAGACTGCACATAGTTTTAAAGCTTTTGTTTATCATTTAGACCACTGTTTGAATCCTGCTATCACCATACACTCTTTAAATCTCTGCCTAACCAAACTGTTCCCTAGAGGCTTTTAACAAATTCACAATTAATGGAGGGTGAGTTTCATTTACAGCTGCATTTGTTTTCCCATTGCTCAATTCAATTCAACACATATTTACCAACTTTTCTGACAGCAATTTTTAAAAAAGAACAATTGCAGTCCTAATGAATTCAGTTTTCATAGCGTCAAAACATTTTACCTTATCAACAAATTGATCAATTGGGGGACATAATGTCTGTTGCTTGGGAATTGTACAGGCAACAGATATTAGGTCTTAGGATACTTGAAAGACTATATTGTTCATTTTTTGTCTTTATGTAAGTTATTGAAATTTTTTCTATATCTGTATATAACAGGAGATATATTTTATCAATACTGACTTATTCAACTTTCATAATAAGTCTATGTGGTGGGTACCATGATTACTGCACCTCCATTGAGTTTTACAAAGGAACAACCTGAGTCCAAGAGAGCTTAAGTAATTGGATGAAACTGACACAGCTGAAAGGTAGAGTTGGGATTCACACCTTGGCAATTTACTACAAAGTTTGTATTTTCACCTGTATGCTATATACTGTGGGAAGAATTATGAACCTTTCTTATTCTTAAAAGTAAAAACAATTTTTTGTTACTTTTAAAACACGAATATCTTTGAAAATGTTTCTACCATTGAAGGAGGTTTTGATATAGATAGATTACTTAAAAAAAACCTTGTTATACTTATTCTCAATAAACCTATTTTTCAAAAATTTGAAGTCAACAAACACAATGTTACTGGATGTCACCATATTTTACCTTTTAAAGTTCTTTGTATTTCAATTTTCTTTATTTGATTAGATAAGGATGGTACTCTATCCTTTTAATTTATAAGGGCATCATCCAATAATTAGGGCCACAGACTAAGAAGGAAAGTAAGTACTTAGCTAATTTCTGTTTCAAATCACTAGGTAACATAGGAGTATGGAAATTACTTAATATTCTTTTTAAAACTGATGGAGAAAAGGAGATAATAAGGTTTACTAACCAGATTAACTCTAAAATCTCATATGAACCTGAGGTTATATTATTCAGTAAAGGCCATCAATATTCCTAGAAATCAGAGCTGGTAGGTCTTTACAACTTTTAATGAGATTCAGGTGCTGGCATTGTGGCACAGCGGGTCAAGCCATTGTCTGCAGTGCCTGCATCCCATATGGGCACTGGTTTGAGTCCCGGCTGCTCCCTTTACAATCCAACTCCCTGCTAATGTGCCTGGGAAGGCAGATGAAGACGACCCAAGTATCTTATCCCCTGTCACCCACGTGGGAGACCTAGAAGAAACTTCCGGCTCCTAGCTTCTGTCTAACCCAGTCCTATCTGTTGCAGCCATTTGGGGAGTGAAAAAACAGATGGAAAATCTCTCTGTCTTTCCCTCTCTCTCTGTGACTCTGCCTTCCAAATAAATAAAATAAATCTTTAAAACAGAAAAGAAATAAAAATGAGATACAGATTACTGGTAGTTCTAATTATACTCATTTTAATATGACACTCAAATTTAAGAAGATATTAACTCATCTGTAAAATAGGTAACTGTTATTAATCACATAGTTGAAAGTTATATGCATCAACTATAAGATAATTTAAAACAAACTACTCAAATATGCTTGTTTGAGAGGTTATGAAAATGTATTCTATAATTTGACTCAAAAGTGTTATATTATGAGATTCTTTAAATACATAATCATAGACTTGCTCAAACTTGCTTCATTTTGGGGGTGGGGGTAATTCATAATCATCTAAAGCAATTTAAAGCATTTTTGATTGATTACAATCTGAGATAGAATTTTTTTTTCATTTCTTAAACACTCAGTTTCTCAAATCAGCAAATCCTGTTTTAGACTAAAATTTAGTGCCATTTCTGGAATGAGAGGAGAAACAACTATTTAACTAACTTACACCTCTTTATGGGTAGGCAGCATCAACAAATCCTTTAACTCAGCAGTTATAAGAAATCCCTATGAACTTTTCAAAGCTAAACAACTTCAGCACTTCCACTTTTTTCTTAAAATAGCCAGCAGCCAACATTCAAAATGAACTGCTAAATTCCTATATAACAAGATAAAGATTGTTTCTAATATCAATAGCTTTTATCTCGATTTCATGTCACTCAGGAATGTTCACTGTTGAAAGCAACTCTCCAAAACACACTTATAGCAATGGCCTATCTTTTCAGACTGAGAATTTGTGGTTGAATTAGGAACACTCTGGAAATAAAGCCCAACAAGTGAAATAAGTCCTTTGACTTGACAGTTTCAAGAGACCAAAAATCTCCCAGTATAATATTGCAAGAGCAGAAGTATAGGTTTTCCTCCAGCTATTGTTCCTTTTAGGAGCACTAAATGCCTTCCTGCTTCATAATGATTTTATAATAATGTAATACCAAGCCCAAGTAAATAGTTTTTTAATAGCTACTCAGAAAACCTTGTAAACTCTCTATAGCTCTGTTTGCAATGCCATTGCAGAAGCTAATCACCTTACAACTGTTCTACAATGTGACAGATATTTACTGCATAAGCCCTATAGAATGGGAAAAAAAAAAAAAAAGATGTTAACTTCCAACAAGGGTCGGCTCACAAAATCCAAAGGAAGGACAAATCACAGATAGACGAGGACAAGTAACAGACATTACAGCAGCACCGCCAGCATGCGGCCCATGATCAACTCCGTTTATCTCTATGATATGAAGGCCTTGTTTAATGGAAAAAGTACCCAAACATACTTTGTGAATGTATGTGGATACTGACCTGGACTTGTGACAGGACTAGAGGTAGTAGGCTCAATAATTTCTACAAAAAGGGAAAAGGAAAGAAAAGAAAAACATTTTGTGTATTAATCATACATAAAAGACAAACACTCATGAGACAATCAACAGTCATGCAACATATACACAGGTGGTTTTTGATTTGAAGGCTTCCCTGACCATGGAAACAACAAAATCCAGATTCTGAGGCTTGTGTATCAGCTGATCACTGTTTTTGTTATTGTAACATCTTGTATTCTGAGCCAACATTTGGGAGTCATTTCCACATTCTAGTCTATGGCATCATGTAATGCTGTGCTAAAGTTAAGGATCTGCTGTTAGCATTCTCAAGCTAGGGGCCGGCACCATGGCTCACTTGGTTAATCCTCCGCCTTGAAGAGCCAGCATCCCATGTGGGCGCCAGGTTCTAGTCCTGGCTGTTCCTCTTCCAATCCAGCTCTCTGCTGTGGCCTAGGAGGGCACTGGAGGATGGCCCAAGTGCTTGGCCCTTGCACCTGCATGTGAGACCAGAAGCACCTGGCTCCTGGCTTCAAATCAGTGCAGCGCTGGCCGTAGCAGCTATTTGGGGAGTGAACCAACAGAAGAAAGACCTTTCTCTCTGTCTCTCTCTCTCTCTCACTGTCTATAACTCTACCTGTAAAATTAAAAAAAAAAAAAAAAAAAAAAAAAGCTTTCTCAAGCTACCATTTACATGGTTTCCTTCTAGTAAAACACTAAAACATGCAAGTAGAATATTTTCTTCTGAGAGAGCCGGTGCCAGTTCCCAAAGCCAATGATTGGACAGTTGCTTCATAATAGACACTAAAAATAAAAATCATGGTCAAGTACTCCAGAAGTCTTTTTAAAGGTAAAATCTCATATTTTACAAGCACATCTACAAAACTTGGCCATTTAGAGAAGAAGTTGTGTCTGCCTTTATGCTCCTGTGTAAAAAGTAAACACACATACCCTTGCACACCCCACACATACACAAACATACACATTTTAAGCAACCTAAAATATATTTGTATGTTGATAAGGCATTGTTTCTCTATATCCCTGGCATACTTAAAGTGTATTTGCATCATTGGCATAAAAATAATACTCTAGTAGATATCTAACAAATTCTGTTGGCATTTTAAATTCTGAACAAAGATAGTTTAAAAAATTTCTGGGAAATAAATTGTGGACAAACTACATGAATTTCAAAATGTTTTTCCCATCAAAATAAACTTATCTTTTAATTTGATAAATTTCTTGGAGAGACCTGATACAATATTTTATTTAAGATTTTTTAACTTATCTTTCTAATGGAAACATTTCTGTTTAAGTGTGAAATGATGGTGATAATATCGGTAGCAGTATGCAAAGTCAAAGACCATCACTGGCAATCCATAACAGAGGAACAATTTTCAATGAGGGAAAAGCAAATATCAGGAAAACATTGCTTTTTTTCAGGGTTTTTAATACTTTAGCAGCCTGAGAAAATTTTAGCACTTATTTCACAAAAGCAATATACTCCTATTTAATCTAGTTAATAAGAAAGTTTAAACCAGTAGGAAAACTCATGAAATCTCAAGGATGCATGAATCTGAAGCTGATTTTTAAAGCCTAACACAGTGAGTGTGTCTACCAGAGATTCTCATGCAAGATCTTGTCTCTGGAAAACTTCTTTGCTTATCTTTGTTCTGGTGACCTTCAAAAGATGTAGGCAAGAGAGAAAGTCAGAAAAAAGAGAACTTGTTCTTCCTCTCTTTTTCTGGAATTTTCTCTTTGGGATTTTCACTGATAAAGTAACAGTGATTTCCAATTCCATTTAAGAGTGAACTCACATCCCTTCCCTATTAGACTAGTTTAGCTACTGGTTTTACTCATAAAACTCTAGTTTAGCAGGAGTTATAAAGTCCACCTTTCCAAAAACCTTTTTGGAGTCAAGTCTGGGGGAGTAAAGTTTGTATGTATTTCAATCTGAAAGTCTGGTTCCCTGGGCCGTTTATGATGGTCTGAGTCAAGGGATCTCTCCAGGTCTCAGGAGGGCTGGCAAAGATCTTTCCTAGGTTTTAACACATCTGAGATGATGAATGTACTCTGTTCATAGGATCTCTTTCTCTGACAGGCAGAGAGAGAGAGAGAGAGAGAGAGAGAAAGGTCTTCCTTTTCCGTTGGTCTACCCCACAAATGGCCGCTACGGCCGGCAGGCTGCACTGATCTGAAGCCAGGAACCAGGCGCTTCCTCCTGGTCTCCCATGGGGTGCAGGGCCCAAGCACTTGGGCCATCCTCCACTGCCTTCCCAGGCCACAGCAGAGAGCTGGACTGGAAGAGGAGCAACCGGGACAGAATCCGGTGTCCCACCGGGGACTAGAACCCCGGGGTTCCGGCGCCACAGGCAGAGGATTAGCCAAGTGAGCCATGGTGCTGGCTTTTTTTTTTTTTTTTTTTTTGCTAATGATGATTTGAAAGTTCACAGAAAAAGATGGGTGGCCTACAACTACAATTTCATCTCAATGAACACAGAAACAAATAGCTGTCCCATAGAACCAAGCTCTTCATTGTGCTTGCTTATGTAGAGCTAAATTGCTTATGTAAAGCTACATTGTCTCACAGGAAGGCTTTTAAAAGAATACAAGAACTTAGTGCATGAAAAATTATGTTGCATGCAGGATCTACTCCATGACTTTAGCTTTACAGTTAGTGCAAGACATTTTTTTCATCCACATAAGCAAAGAGAAAAAGGAACACCTAGTTGAGTAATTTCATATAAAATAAGATTCATGAAGAGAGAAATTGGTTGAGTAAGAAATTCAGATTAATAAAATCTAAGGAGTCACAAACATAGTGCAAGAAGGAAGAGAAGAGAAATTAGAGTGAGAACAAAGCACTGAAATCAGAAAAATCTGGCGCTGAGGTTGGGGAATGATGAAGAGTCAGCTAAACTCCTTGATGTGAGATTGGTGAGTTAGAAAGGATGCAGATAAAACTAGTCTCTGCCATTATTCAATAGCATGCCAGTGAGCAGGTAAATGAATCTCTCCAACCTTCAATGCCCTCATTCATCAAATTTAGAAAATAGATGCTATTTTGTAGTGTTGTTGGGGAAGATTAAAGATATCATATAAATAACCACATGAGAATTAGCAGTTTTTGTTATTGTGGAGTGAATGGGAAAATTTGTATGTGAAAGTACAGTGTTAGAATTTAGGAAGTGTTTAACTTTATCAAGTAGGAGCAAATATGGAGAACAATGTGTGTAGTTAAAACTACATAAATAAAAAGGAATTACACCTAAAATGTAGACAATGATTTTTTTCCAGCTAAAACATACTTAATGTATTATGCCGTAGCATCATTATTTGGGAGCCATATTGATTGTAGGAAGATAACTGGAATCCATTATACTTTAAAATATTTATTTATTTATTTGAAGCAGAGAGACAAGGAAAGACAGAAATAAACATTTTCCACCTGCTGGTTCACTCCAGAAATGCCTGCAATGGTGAAGATTGGGCCAGGCTGAAGCTAGGAACCAAGAATTTCATCTGGATTTCCCAGGTGAGTATCTTGAACCACAATTTGCTGCTTCCCAGATACCTTAGCAGAGAGCTGGAGCAGAGGTAGACTAATAGGGACTTGAAAGGATTCCACAATATAGGAGGCAAGCATGCCACACTACGACTAAACCATTGAACCATAGCACCCACTCCCACAATATTTTGTAACAATTCTAATTTATGTAAAAATTTAGAATATAAATTTATAGATCAAGATCTCACTTTTTTTGTGAAGTAAAAATGGCTTTTAATCCTAAAATGGAAATTTGGTGTTAAATTATTATAAGCAAGTATTTATAACACATACAAAAGATATTAAAAAGTAAACTTTCCTCCTTGTATCTCTGAACAAATCAGAATGATTCTACTAATGCAATATAATGAAGGCCTTTCTTTGTAGTTAAAGAAAATAATGATATTTTATTACTTATAGTCTGGGTAGTAGTCAAAGTTGACAAGATGGAATAAATCTGGTGTAGATTTCTTTGTACTTTTCCAAAATCAATGATTCAATATATCTGAAACTGCTTATGGAACAAATGTTAGAACAATACTAATTATTATTATACTAGTTACAATTGTATAAATTATTAAATGCTTACTGTATACCAGGCACAGATTTAAATGTTTTACACATCTTTTTTTAAAAAAATATTTTATTTATTTATTTAAGAGGTAGAGTTACAGAGAGAGGGAGAGACACAGAGAGAGGTCTTCCATCCACTCGTTCACTCCCCAAATGGCTGCAATGGTTGGAGCTGAGCCGATATGAAGCCAGGAACCAGGAGCTTCTTCCAGGTCTCCCATGAGGGTGCAGGAGCCCAAGCACTTGGGCCATCTTCCACTGCTTTCCCAGGTGCCCATATGGAATGCTAGCACCGCAGGCAGAGACTTAGCCTACTGCGCCACAGCACCAGCCCCATGTTTTACACATCATAACTCATTTTCTCTAACCAACAAATCCATGAGGTAGCTAATGTTATTGATTCCTCCTTTACATATGAGTCAATGGAGCACAGATAAATATCCTGCTCATAGTCAAACAGCTAATAAGGAGTAGAGATGGGAGAGATATTATGCTAGAATGTCTTAGCATTCTATTCTCTCACCTTTCACAAGAAATACCCTATGCACTTTCATTACAATATACTTAAATGGGACATTCCTACACAAGAGATATTTCAACTCTCCACTACTAGCTCTCCCAATAACAAGGTCTTCCTATTAAAAGTAGTTAATTAATGAATGGTTTCTATTGGGAAAATCGGCTTATCCAATCAGTGTTAATTCCTAAAACTTCTACCATAATGGAACTTCACTGGAGAAAGGATTTACATTTCCTATCTTGTTCTCATATTCTAAGCCAACATCAAGTATAGTTGTTTGCTATTGTGTAAATCTTGATGCAATAGAGGGGTAACACTTCAGATAGCTCCAAGGATATTGTCCTAACAGAATTACACAACTAAATAAGAATTTTAGACTTATACACCTTACTTTATGAATACAGTAGTTTAACCAGAGACTGCTCAGCATTCAAGAACTTCATTGTTTTTAGATGGATCAGATTAGACTGCTGCTCTGTCATCTTAATAATCAACTTGTAAGCAGTGAAATATGCTTCATGAGGTGCCAAGTGAGCTCTCTTTATGAGCAATAGTAAAGGTCCTAAGTGAGATTTTCGTACATGTCTCATTATATGGCGAGTCAGAGTGGCACCCCAGGGTTAATGGCGAAATATATCACTGTATATCACACATCACATCACTGCAGGGAATGGTCTCAGCAAAGGGACACTTTTAATTGTACATAAAACAGGGGTGAAGAGAAGTTCACCAAGACAGTTTCAAGGGTTATGTGGAAAAATGAGGTATCATGTAAGACAAGATTTTACTTCTTTAACAAAGGTAATTTTGGTGAGGACAGGAGGAAATTCTATTAAAACAAAGTAATAAGTAAACAGTGAATTAAAAGAATGGGTGATTTGTAATGTTTTTTTCCAAAGGCTGTATTAATTATTGCTTTGTAACTCTGCACATACAGTATATTATTAGAATTGTCCAGTATGAAACTTTTTCATTTCCAGGTTTTTGGAAAGTTATATTTGGCTTCTGGGTTGTTATTTTACCTTTATATTATTATAGCAGAGACGTGAGATGTGTGCAAGTTATCTTTCCTACTGTTGAGAGATAACATGATCATGTTGCAGAGACATGACAGAAATTAATCCTTTTGGTTGCCATGGTTTCATCTGAATGCTCTGACTCCCAACTATTGTGAAGTGGAAGCAATGTCATTTTCACAGGAGAATGAAGAGGACATTGCTCTGGAATGATCAAGGTTAGTGCCGATGGAAACACGGAAGGCTAAGTTGGTTACAGAAGGGAAAAAAAAAAAGGTGACTTTTCCTTTTCTCCTTATGAAGAAAGCCCATAAAGTGTGTCAGGCTGCTTAGAGCACAGGAACACAGAGCCTTTGTGCACAGAGAGACATGTAAGAATCACACTTCTGCCTCCAGGAAAGAAATGCATCATTTGGAAAATTTCATGGGGTTATAGTTGATATCAGACACTCCAAGGTAGCAGTCAAATACACATAGTACAATTCTGATAGTCAGAAGTCTTGGATTCCATCTCATCTGGTAACCACAGGAGTGGACTCTAACTCAGGCTCTTGATTTCAGTTTCTTCTATAAAACTAAGAGGTTATAATAGCATGCATACATACTGCACCATTATTTTATATTAATGTTATTTTTTGTCACTATCACATGGTTGCTGTTAAAAGATGGTTTCACACAGCATTTAATAATGGAGATCCTTGAGGAGACTTACCTGGGATCCAATACCAGCTCCAATACTGAGAAGTTGCTCACCCTTTCTAAGTTTGTATGTTTATTAAATGGAGATAATGATATCCACTGTAGTAAGGTAAATGAGATAATGCATACAAATCACTTAGCACAGTGACTGCCTGAAAATCACCACGGTTCGACAGATGTTAGCTTATTTTTTTAACTGAACTGATGAAAAATGACTTTAAAATCATTGGAGCACTATCAACATTTACATTGTTATCAGTAATTATCATATAATTCAACCTTAAAGTAAATATTTCATTTAGAGTAAACCATTTCTATTACTGAAAAATTACAAAAACATTTTCAAATGTTTAGAAAGAAAAGCCTACATATTAACATCAACTGCACATATTAACATCAACCACCAAACTTTCACTGTAACATTACAGATGCACAGGAGATTCTGCATTTATTTTATAGGAGAAGATTTTGTGCCCATGTTTGGCTATTGGTTGTAGATGTCGAAGTGGAATGTGTATGTGATGGAGCAATGGATTACTCACAGGGGAATAAAAATTCGAATGTTGCTGTGTCTCTGTACTTATGCTCACTCCAGTTAAAGATTGAAGACAAAGTCTTATGTTAGAACTAAGAAAGTATGTACATATATTATCATTCTGGTTAATATCCTGAAACAATACAAATACTGCCATTCTTAATCTTGGTCAAAACTAATTCTTGGAATATTAAAGTATCCTTTTAGTAAGTGAAAAGCCAGTTCTCTTATGAGTGAGAAAATCAATTCTATAATAACCAAGGGTCACTAAGAATATACTATACATTCATATGTTCAATTATATTAATAATAAAACTTTTCAGAGTTATGGTCATAGTTTCTTCCATAAATTTCTCTACTGCCTGAGATTTGAGAGAAAAATTATGGAAGAATTTTGGTCCATGCTTTCAGTTATAGTTGGTAGAAATAGTTTTTCAGACTTCTGGGTCAACTACTAACTTTCAGTAAATAATCATTCAGTCAAAAGGCCATTAAGAGGGGCTGGCGCTATGGTGTAATGATTAAACCTCTGTCTGAAATGCCAGTATCTGATATGGGCACTGGTTTGTGTCCTGGCAGCTCCACTTCCAACCCAGCTCCTTGCTAACAGCCTGGGAAAAGCAGCAGAAAGATGGCCCAAGTACCTGGGCCTCTGCCACCCATCTGGGTGACTCACATGAAGCTCCTGGCTCCTGGCTTCAGTCTGGGCCCAGCCTTAGTCATTGTGGACATGTAGGGAATGAACCAGCAGATAGAAGATCTTTCTCTCTCTTCCTCTCTCTCACTCTCTAATTCTGACTTTCAAATAAACAAATATATTTAAAAAAAAAAGCCATTGAGAAATTTTGGGTTTTACCAAGTACTTCATATAATACTCAGGACAAACACTGATTTTCATCATTATATTAATACTCAACTCTGGAAATGATCTGATGAGAGATCGGCTTTATTTCTGAAACATGCCGCTCAGTATCACAGGAGAATAAGTGTCTCGGCTTTTAGTAAACACAACTGATTTCCTGTCTAATACAAATTAGAAAGAAAATAAAAATAAAGGTATTATGGTCAAGAGTGCAAGAACCTGAAAGAGGAGAATTAACTGCTGATATATTTGTAAAAGCCTATTGTATTACTGCTATGCAAAGAAATGCAGAGTCTAGACACCTGGTAATTAATAGTTGGGCTGTTTCTTTGTTTTAAATCTACAAAATTCTAATTATTTCCAAGGACTGAATTATAAGCTGTCAAATCTTTCCAGTTCTTCCACACAAAAGACTATAGAGGGATGGCATTTACTCACTGCCTGTGGAATTTTTTTTGTTGGGGGGAGGGGCTGGATTTTTGAGGGATTTCCAAGGAGTTGGCAAATGATCATATGTTTTTGAGATACTCATTTCACATTATTCATCCATTTGACACATTGGATTTAAAGCGATTTGGTGAATTCAGATTGCCACTCACCTTTCTTATGTGAGGTATGCCACTAATATTTTAAGGCTGGAGTGAGCTAGAACTGAGTTCAAGTCTCTGTCATGTACTAGCTGCGAAATCTTTCACAGATTAGTGGTCATAGGTGAAATGGGCTTTTTAATTTTCACAATCAATATGAGATACCATGGTGATTGGCATAAAGTAGGAAGATAGAACTTTTTTAACCTTTCCTGTGATCCAGATCTAAAATTCTTGATATTATGGAAGGCAGCTTTTCATTTCTAGATATTTTTAAGTCCTACTTGGGCAGTCTGTTTGGAATGACTGAATAATGTGGAAAGTAGCTGGAAACTGCTAATAAAAAGGCAGCTTGTGGATGGTGATAAATGTCCCTGGATTACTGACTTTACAACTACATCCAGGAAATATATAAAGTGAGTCCACCTGTTGGCCATAGTGAAATGACATACAGTGGCAAACTCTGACAAAACAGGGTGCTATGAGACACTGTGACAGGCGCTGAAGGGTGTCCTTTCCACCTGTGAGCCGGGTGAGTCAGCACAGGTCCAACATGTATCAGCAGGAACAGAAGACGCCGCAGGGCACGTGTCACTCTGCTCCTCCCAGTGTTCTATTAGAAGCAATGTGGCAAAAATCCAGCTTTCTGAGAAATCGATGCTAGCAGAAAACCAAAGCTGCCAAGGAGCAGCTGGACTATTGGCTCAGTGAAAGAAAGATGCCTGAGGACAAGGGCAAAACGAGGGAGGCTTTCTATGGAAGAGCTGCCTGGACATTGCACTACTGACAATTCGTATGATTTTTGAGTTATTCATTCCTTTGGAGATTTTCGTTACCTTTTCAACATATCTTTCGAGAGCACCCTACTTTCCTAACGCTATGCTGGTTGTTGATACAGTGGTGAGTAAGACAAATGCTCTTCTCTGTAAAAGGCACCATATGGCGATATCAGCAATTCAAAAAAAAAAAAAAAAGCAATGAAATGATTGCACAGTAAGAACTATGGATAGTAAGTCCAGGGTACTTTAGGGGCCTGTAGCTGGAGAAACTGTCCTGGTACAGTGGTTAGGGAAAACCATTTTAGGAAGTGACTTGCTAAACCTGAATTTCTGCGTCTGAATCACATGCTTTGTCCAGGCTTGAACAGTCAACAACAGAAGGCAAAGTCAGATGGGTCTACCGCTGGTGAGTCTGCTGGCAAGTGTGGGTACAGCACATTCTGCTGTGGCAGAGCTCTGGAGAAGAGGTTCTGCTGAGAGGGCATGCATGATGTGATTTGCTCTCTGAACAGTGAGGTACTGAGGGAAATGATTCCAGTCAGGGGCAGAAGATGTCACAGCCTGAAGAGATTTTAGAGACTATTCTGATCCTACCAGTTCATCTTACAGACGAGAAAAATGAGGCCCAGGCAGATGGGTGATGTGTCCAAATCGAACAGCAAGGAAACTGCAGGGGTGGCATTAGAAGACTGGTCTTTTCACTTCCAGTCCGGTGGCAATGAAGAAAAGGTAAACCTTAACAATACTCTACCACAACAATATTACTCTATCCTCCTATGTGTGTCACATGACATAATGGGTATATAATTTATATAGTAAACACTTTTGCTTGTTTATTTCCTGTCTTTATCACTATAATGTAAACTATCAAACCAATAAAGGTCAAGTTTCTATAGTAATACACCAAGGAAGACAGTACGATAATTTCACTCCTGTGATGATTTTCTGTCCTCACAACTCCATGAAGCAAAGAGAATAATTGACTGAAGATCAAGGACCTCACAAGCAATTTTTCTTGATGCAACAGTCTGAACTAACCACTTCTGGAGCACATTTATTTGACTGGAAAATCTACCATGCTTTTTTGAATTGATCTGAATAAGTGCAAACATGTATGTACATAAATACTGGAGTACAGGGTAAATCTCTGCATGTACAGCCATACACAAGGAGTCTTCTAAACATTCCTGGGAAATGAGTAATATGAAAAAACTATGAATGAGTTTCAGAATTTTTCACAGCAAAATAAACAGCTTTGTCCATTTGCTGTGAACTTTTTGGAGTACCCTCCTATGTATGTCATGTGACATGATGGGTATATAAATGACACAATAAACACTTTTGCTTGCTTATTTCTTTCCTGTCTTTATCACTATAATGTAAACTTCATAAAGTTAGGAACTTTGCTTGCTTGTTTTTCTATTGAATTCTCAATGTGTAAAACACTCCTGGCACATAACAGATACTCAATAAATATTGACTAGATGAATGAAAGAACATGTGTACAATTGCATATATGTATTAGAGTCCACATGATCATATGTGGATTTTGGATGTGGATATTTTACATAAATATGTCATGCACATGTGAAACTACCCTCTGCCATCCCCAAGATAGCTGATGGAACAAAAGGATTGATGGAGACTGGAGAGTCACAGACTCCAATTAGACATCTCAAGATTATAGTCTAAATCTGATCCCAGGATGATAGCAGTTCTAATACTGGGCCCAAATAAAATTTCAGTTTGGTCTGCACATAAAAGTTTAAAAAAAATTAAGGTGTGAGGCCAGTGTTGTGGCTCGGAGGTTGAGACATGGTTTTCAACATTGCCATCCCATATGCATGCTTGTTCAAGTCCAGCTACCCTATTTCCTATCCAGCTCCCTGCTGATATGACTGGAGAGCAGAGGACAATGGCCCAGGTCTTTGGGCCCCCACACCCATGTGGAAAGCCTGGATGCAGTTCCAGTCTCCTGGCTTCAGCCTGGCTCATTCCCAGTTATTGTGGACATTTGGGCAGTGAACCAGCAGATGGAAGATCTCTGTTTCTACATATAACTCTGCATTTCAAAAAATAAAATGAATCTTAAAAAAATGAAGACAGGATTAAAGCAGTTCCTATTTTGCAAACTGAAATAGTAGAGTCTGACCAAAATACCTGCTGCTCTGACCATATCATAATTTTTTTTTCTGTTGGCATCTCCTATTAAATTACAAAATCATTCATTACCATGCTGCAAGAAAAGGCAAAGCAGGAGGGCATGGGTTAGAGATAAATATGTCTAATTGTACAATCCACTATATATACATCAAAGAAAACAAATAATTGTAGTCAAGTTTCATTTTATTGAATGAATTGGTATTACGCTCAGTGCATCTAGATTTTGCTTGGTCTGGATCTTCTAGTGGATGTTATTAAGGTACAGACATTGAAAAGTCTCAGAAACAATTTAAGCTTAGAAATTTGAGCAAAATGTCAGTTATGATTGATTCTTACCCAAAATTATATATTTCCTATGCATGGAGAATTAAGTACTTGGAAATGAATCCAGGATATAGCACCAAGTGGTTAAAGTTGAATAGAGTGTTTAGCCATTAAATTCATGTGAGGGTTTAGGCCTTATATGAATTCAAAGCATTTTTTAACGTTGAGTGCCTGTGCCCCTTTGCAGTTTTATTTGAGGAATACGTATTAAGGCAACTGTCCAAACCCAGCCTTATCTGTATACTGCCGTGTCAAATTTGATGATTTTTCAAGCTCCCTCCAACTTGTAGGATTTCTCTCAATTGCTGCACACTACATGTTCCTACTCTTGCTGAGATAGTCTATGTTTTAAGTGATATTTGTTTAATGTTCATCTATCTAAAACATTAAAACAGTGGTATTTTTTCCAAATTAACATTAATGTTAAATCAAAAGTATCTGGAAGCAATTGGTAATAAGAAAACAAAATTAATGCTACAAGCCAGAATATTTGAGTTTTGTAACAGGTGTTGTCATTTTTGAGTTCAAAAAGACTCTGAGCCCCACTTTGTCACCTAAGAGAATCAGAAAAGTAATATCTGACTATTTTATCTTACAGTGATAAAACTGGGTAAATTAAATACCTTCTCTGGGCTTCTATTTCCTTAGCTGTAAAATGGGGAAAATGATAATTTGCCTCATAAGATAACCATGAAAATAAAATATTTTCTATAAAGATCTTAGCATAATTTTTTTAAGTTAGTGGCTTCTATTAATGTAATTTAAATATATTGTACAAGTTTGCTTCTCCAAGCTAGAAGATTGTTGGGGAGGCAGGTAGGAAGCAGCCTGAGTAGCACTCTTTGGGATTGTATCAATAAGACTAATTTGAAATTCCATGGAGATGCAAATTTCAAAAAGAACACAGGCTTGAAAATCTACCTTGGCATGACTGCTAACTCTATAGACTTGGGAGAAGTTTTCAAACCTCTCTAGGACTATTTCCTTACAATGTGAAGCACAGAACCAAGACAGAGGAAACAACAGGTCAGTGCCACAATGTTAATTTGCGGTCAGACCTGATATCAGAAGCCAAGTTTCCTGAACGCTGGATCAGGATCACATCTCCTGCTTTAATAGTTGATTTGCCCATCTGAAGTATTTCATTTATTACTTTATGCCAGAAAACTCATTAATTATTAAATTCCAAGTGTTGTGTTAGATGTTGGAGAAGGGAAGAGCACACCATACAAATCTGTGTCCCTGTAAACTTCCAGGTCAGGTAAGGATTGGTACAGGGTATGAAGTCCCATGCCGGGAGCAGGGAACCTCAGCTGAGTGCAATAGCTAAAGATTGGATCTGTTTGTCTGCCTTTGACCTGTCCACAGGAGAAACAAGGGGTACTTTTTGCTGATCAGGTACAGATAACCTGCATATTCCTCTCATTGTTCAGCAGTTTCTCTTTGATTTTTTTTTTTTTTTTTGACTTCCATGATATCGCCAAATGAGATTTGTGGAAAAGAAATTCTCCCTGAATTTTCTTAGCTCAGAGATAACTGGATTCCTTTGGAAGCCAATGTTCTTTGCTGATTTCAATGTAAAGATATCTCTTGGGAGGAGGGGGGCGACATGTAACACAGAGGCTAAAGCTGCCGCCTACAATGAGGGAGAGAAAGAGAGAGAGAGAGAGAGAGAGAGGGAGAGAGAGAGAATGAATCTTCCATCTGCTGGTTCTCTCCTCAAACGGCTGCAACAGCTGAAGCTGGGCTGATCCAAAGCCAGGAGCCAGGAGCTTCTTCCAGGTCTCCCACATGGGTGCAGGGACCCAAGTACTTGGCCCATCTTCCACTGCTTCCCCAGATGCATTAGCAGGGAGCTGGATCAAAAGTGGAGCAGCTGGGACTTAAACCTGGTACCCATAAGGGATGCTGGCACTGCAGGTGGTGGTTTTACCTGCTACACTATAGCACCAGTCCCTGTTTTTCCTTTTTTAAAAATTGCATGTGAACTATGGTATTTTGCAGATATGATTCATTTTGTGAATACTTCTATTTCCTCTGGATTTGATGAGTGACATGGAAGAGAGCAAGACAACCCTGGCACCTGCTTCTACAGAGAGAATCTTGAATGAAGCGGGGGAAACTTAGGCTGTGTGAAAAGAAGAAACCCACTGAAGAGTAACCTTGTGGCTGATAAAGATGGAATTTATGTGTGTAATTTCTCTCAAGTATATAATTCTGTATTTTGAATTGTAACTATTTGATTTTGGCATTATTTGCTAAATTTTCTCCTACAAAATTAAAAAACTGAATTTATAATATTCATGGTGAAATCCAACTTAACTGTATTATGATTTTTATGGTCCAAATGTTTGTGCCTGTAGAGAGAAATCTGGGTCTGACAAGCATGCATGAGGTAAGCTACAAAAAAGAAAAGTAATTATTGAAGATCTTTAAAAAAAATATGACACAATAGCTCTTCAGCCACTGGTGTTTCTAATGACCAAGTTACATAATCTGTATTTTTTTATAGTTAGCATAAAGGTGAACTGACCAAACTTTTTTGTAAACTCAAACTTAAAGTGTGTGTCAGTGGCAAAAAATAATGTCAAAAAATGCTTGTTCATTTTATAGATGTTAGAATGAAAATGTGCCAGTTAAGAATAAACTGGCTTGATTAACATGTTGATTAATGAATTAATTCACCTTTCAAAAGCTGATCAGGTCTCTGCTATATGCCAAGTATTATAACATGTGCTGGGGTACAAAGATAAATAAGATAGCATTTTCTTTTTAGTGGGGACATAGCAAAATAATTAAAATAAAAATTGAAATATAACTTGATGCATCAATAAAATTCTACTAATTAATTAGGAATGTAAATAGAAATATAATGTAATTAGAATATAAATAAGTTTTTAAAGGTGGTGATGGTAACATATATATATATATATATTTGTGTGTGTGTGTGTGTGTGTGTGTATCTCATAAATATATGAGAGAGAGACAGGAACTATTTCAATGCTTAAACACATTAGCTCTTTCAATTCTCAGCCATCTAGAGAAGTGGTACAACAATGGGAGTATGTTTCCCAAATTTCATGAGTTAGAAACATAAACCCCAAAGTCATATGTTAATGATGTTGGAGAGGTTGGACATTTGGGAGGTTAGTGGGTGGTGAGGGATCTGGCTTTATGACCAGGCAAATCCATTTATGGATTAATGGATTAGTGGATTAATGGGTTATCTTAAGAATGTCTTTGTTAGAAAAGCAAGCTCCTTCTGGCTTGCTTTTTTGTATCTTGCTATGTGGTGATGCCCTGAGCCGTCTTGGCATTCTGCAGAGTTCCACTGGCAAGAAGGTCCTCATCAGATATTTTCCCTCGACCTTGGAAATTCCAGCCTCCAGAACTGCCAAAAACAAATTTCTTATTTTTATCAATTATTTAGTTTAAGTATGCATTCATAGCAAAGGAAAACAGCTTAAGACAAGGGGGTACTACTGTTAGCACCATTATTAAAGAGAAAACTAAGCAAAGAGAAATTAAGACACCATGCAAGGTGACACAGGCAGAATTATTTGTTCTTATTTATTTGTTGGTAAAGATCTATTGATTTTGAAAGAGTTACTGAAAAAAGGAGAGACAGAGAGAGAGGTATCTTCCATCTACTGCTTTACTCCCCAGTGGTCACAATGGCCCACACTGCGCCAGTGTGAAGCCAGGAGCCAGGAGCTTCATCCGGGTCTCCTATGTGGGAAGCAGAGGCCCAAACACTTGGGCCATATTCTGCTAATTTCCCCAGGCCAGTTACAGGGAGCTGGATGGGAGTGGAGTGGCTGGGACATGAACTGGTGCCCAAATGGGATGCCAGCTTTTCAGGCAGCTACTTTACCCTGTAAGCCACAGTAACAGCCCCGGTAGAATTTAAATCCAAAATGCCTGGGCTATAGGACCTGTGCCCCTCATATACATAAGCTAGAAGTTCTCAGATGGTATTGGGTGGTGGGTGGCACTCAATATAACTGAGTGGAAAAGATAACTTACAGAATTCGAGAAAGAGCAACATGGATTAAAATCAGCATTACCTACTATCAGTTTCCCATATAATTACCTTATTTGTTGCCTCCTAGGTAAATCAATTCTAGCTACTAATCACAAATTTAGATGGACAATAATGAAGTGAAAAACTAGAAGGAGGTTGGCAAGTTAATTTTTTTTTTTTTTTTTTGACAGGCAGAGTGGACAGTGAGAGAGAGACAGAGAGAAAGGTCTTCCTTTGCCGTTGGTTCACCCTCCAATGGCCGCCGCGGCCGGCGCGCTGCGGCCGGCGCACCGCGCTGATCTGATGGCAGGAGCCAGGAGCCAGGTGCTTTTCCTGGTCTCCCATGGGGTGCAGGGCCCAAGCACCTGGGCCATCCTCCACTGCACTCCCTGGCCACAGCAGAGGGCTGGCCTGGAAGAGGGGCAACCGGGACAGAATCCGGCGCCCCGACCGGGACTAGAACCCGGTGTGCCGGCGCCGCTAGGCGGAGGATTAGCCTAGTGAGCCGCGGCGCCGGCCGGCAAGTTAATTTGACACTGGAGTCACTGTTCAAGTTGCTTTGATTTTTGCAACAAAACTTCTGACTATTATGGCCAGTGGTAATTGGCAGAGAATTGCATCCACCTTCCTTTTATTTCAGACTTTCTTGATGTTTTTGATGTTTTCATATAGGTAGGAGGTGGGGAAAATCCTTTAGGAGTAGTTCTATTCTTCTCATTCACATTTCTTTGAATCCTCATTTCACTGACGATTCAAAGCAACCATCCTCTCCCTTGTTGTCCGATACTGTCTATCTAACTTGTTCATTTGTCAAGAGACACAGACAATAGGCAGAGAAGTACTTGTTTGGGGATAAGTAATTTGAAATTAGAGCACGTGTATTTTGCAATTTAGCAAAGTCACAGAAGTGAAAAGGAGATAGGCTGTTCCTGCCACTCATACTCTGTTCTTAATATCCTTCCCATTTGAGATGAGGGCTTCTAAAACCTGGACTCACAGCTCTGCAGTGTTAATATGCTTTGGAGAAGAGCAGAGACATGGATGGTCCACCGTAGAAATTGGTATAAAGAGAAAGATACTCAGAGATGTTCAACAATTGAAAAAACAAACATGAGCGATTAATAAATCAGATATTATTCTATATCAGATTGGTCCCAGCCAGAAGTGATGATTGTATTACATGTCTTAGAAAATTGTCCCAGTAGAAAAAAAAGGAGGAGGAAGTGGGGGTAGACTCTGCCAGATCTGTTACATCCACCATGCCATGGCAGATTCAAAGGTGGCTGCAGTGTGCCTGGCCTCTGATAGTCACTTCATTGTACCAGAGTTGATATGTTTGGTCAATAACACATAGCACAAGCTATGGGTTATTACTCTGGCCTGAGCTAAAACAGTCACTGCAGCTTTTGTCTAGTGTTACACCCCATCCACTCTGAAAAGGAGTTCTAGGAAAAGGCATGTTATGGGCAGTACAACAGAAAAATCTACATAGTAAGAGACTGAGTTCTACCGACATCCTGAGTGAACTTGGAAACAAATCCTACACATTTGTCAGACTTCAGAAAACTACAGCCTCAAGACTTATCTTGATTGCAGCCTCACCAGACCCCCAAGTTAGAACCAACAAGGTAAACACCCCTGGATCCTCCGCCAACAGAAGCTAAAGTAGTAACTGTTTTCTGTTTAAAGCTGCTAAACTTGGGGTAATGTTTTATGCAGCAGAGCCTGACTGATGCAGCCCCATTTTCTTGAGATAGGGCTGGTTCTACATGGCAAGGTTCCTCTTGCCATGGCTTCTTGGAGCAGCAATCTTCCTGCTGCTTTGGGCTTAACATGTCTCTGAGTTACCTTCACACCAAGTGAGGCATGCTTCAGGATGCCATCAAATGCAAGGGTTGTAGTACTGGATGTCTTAGGAGTTCAATCCCTGAGGCCAAAACTGTGCCCTACAGATTTCTCAACTTTCTGAAAAGAGGAAATGAGATCTTCTTAAAAAGCATCAGGCTCCAATCTGGATTTCACTGCAGCTTCTTGTCTCTGTTTCAAAGACATCTTACATTCTTGGATATTCTTGACGTTTGAATCATGTGTCAAGATGTTGTTGATTCTAGTGATGGCAACGTTTCATCTCATATGCATAGCAGATTGTTAAAACATGCTGAAGCTGTGGTGCTCCTTTCCATTCTGCTGTTCCCAATTTTATTGTCACTTCAGAAATAAACTACAACATATAAAGGAGCACTGGGAAGGCGGCTTTAAGAGCCCTGGGGTAGAGCTAAAAGCAGCTCCCTTGATTTTATGTTTGAGCCATCTGGTGCTTACATCAGCTACCACTTGTTTTCAAATATATATTATTTGCGACTTTGTAGAGCTGAATAACATGAGCCCCTTTGGTACAGCAAATATTGTCAACGTACAGTGATTTAAATAAAAGAAGGAGCTAGTCATTTCATATGCGTCTGTGTGGATAGAGGTTGATAGCTTCCCTGCACTGAGAATAGGAGAGTTCTTTCAGCAAGAGAAGTGTGTAAAGCTTCAACCTTTTGGACATCAGGGAAATAAACCAAACCTTTTTGGAGAAATCACCTGTGTTTAGAGCAAATGCTAGCATTTATTAAGTGCTTATAATATCCTATGCATTATGTGAGTTCTTCAAAAGTTTTGTCTCATCTAAGCCTAAATTAGTCAGAATACAATTAGATAACATTATAAACAGCCTTAAAATCTTAGTGAATTAGCAACATAACAAATGTTTGTTTATTCCCATGCCACATGCTTATCTGTATATCTTTCAGACACTAGATAGATATGAAGACAGATCAAAAAGTTCATAGAAAAATTAGATAAAAATACATTTATTTTGATGCCAAAAAAACAATGAATTCCATCCCACAGCTTTTTTCATAATATTTATTTTAAGTTAACTTTTTGAGGACTCCTTGTATACATGGATTTTAAAATTTTTAGCACTAAAATTGTATTTTTCCACGAACTTTTTGAAGTGTCCTCATACCATGCCATTTAAAGTATTAAAGTTTCTTGCTCATCTTGGGTAGGCATGAGATAGAGTTCTGCACTGGCTCTTCCATGTTTTGATCTGAACGTTCCACATTTTGCAATTGCTTAACATCAAATTAGTCATGAAGGACACATTCTCTTGCCTAAGATCTTCCCTAATGTCTGGAGGGAGAGGCGCACCAGAACCACATAAGCCAGAGAATCTAAAATACTTTGTTTTTACAGATATACTTTATGCGTGCAGAAGCCAAAGCATAGAGAGATAAAATGACTTGTCAAGGCCATGTACCTTGAACGGTGGTGGAACTAGATGAATCTCAAATCCGAGTCTATGAAAACTCACTTAGTGCTTTTAAGCACTATGTATGGAAGAGAGAATTTCTGTCAGAACTGACTGAAGGGATCCGGAGGGCCACATGGTATCTGCTCTGCCTGAATAACTTAATATCAATTCTTCAAAATATTTATTTCACCTTCTAAGTGAATGAAGGCAGGAACCATTTGGCAACTGTTCAAGTTCCTAGTTCAAGTTCCTAGCGTAGTGTGCTAGGCACATAGCAAGTGTTCAACAAACTGTGGTTGAAATCTATTTAATGGATGTCTAATTTGTGCCACGTTTCATATAGTACTAAAATATAGGTTCTGTAATGCACAGTTGGTGCTGCTTTAGGAATAATAAGGATGTTTTCAATA